GAAGCGAGGAAACAAATGCTGGGGGCCAGGGGGCCGCAAATGGCCCCCGGCCAAATTTTACAATATGGCTATATAAATGACCATCTTACTTGACCTCAGCCTGTTTGCTCTTAAATAATAATGCATAAATCAAGTGAAATTTCTATGGAATTAAAGAATAAAAATGAACAATATATTGTTTTATAGCAGTTTATTCATTATACAGAACATTTTAAACCATGATGAAAATATTTTATTTTGTATCTTAATACGAATTACAGTTAAATTTTAGAAACATGAATAACCAGGAATGGGATTGTACCTTAGCCATTGTGTTGCATCAAGAAGAGTGTGTAGAGAATACTGTGAGTTTGTATAAATGCCTGTGATTGCCAATATGTATAGGCCTACTGTACTGTAAACTAAAACTACACAATATAAATTAATCATGTCATGGGAGGGGGGCAGGCCATAATCTGGGAGGCTCTGGCACCCTCCCCCACCCTTTGGCTACGCCACTCTACATACAGTAACTAGCAAAAGATCATATATGTTTTCTGCTGCTGCTATAGCCCAGGGTCTAGCAGCGCTATCTGACGAACGGTGCTCTGTTTGCAACAGCCCAGGTTAGGCCGCTAAAAGTTCCCCCAAAAGTTGTGAGATGTTGGTGGCGATGTTTCAAAACAGACCCGATAAAATGGTGTATAGAGTGGGCTATAACATCTCAATGGCTTAAGAGGCAGGTGAAAGTTAACTATGCTGGGTCCAGAAACTGTCAAATTTACCAGTGTCACTCCCTGCAATAATCTGTTAGTGGGTGATAATTCTCCGCTCTTTTCCAATAACTATGCATCCATGCAGATGAACCGTATTATACAGTACACAGGAACAAATGTTTAAACATCCTTTGTGCAAGACGGTACAGTATAATCATTATTTTAAAGGGAAACAGTTTGATGGAAAAAAAGCCAGGTCTATATAATTTGTACAAACCTGTCCAGGTAGGACTGGTGCTAGCCACATATGACTTCCATCATTGGTATCATTGAAGCCATCTATGAGCTTATCAGGTGTTCTGCAGTCATCATCGACACCATCCAAGATGTTGACGCTTGGAGGGAATGCTGCAATGTCTGATTCATGCTAAGGCCAAACAACCAGAGATTAAATTTAAAGCAATACCTATAAACATCTGGCCCCTAAAAACATATATGATGTTAACAGAATTGTAGCTGTAGAAAACTAAGGGTGGGTGATCACATTTTAAGGGGTGGGTGGGTGATAACATTGCTAAACTCTGAATAACAAGAGTGGATTTTAAGGATGGAAAAGTGGGTTAATAAGGGTGGGTGGAGGGCCATGAAATTAGCTTCAGACTGGCTGGAAAACCTCAAGGTTGGGTGGCAGAGCCCACTTCCACACACCATAACTACATCCCTGTGTAAAGAAACATAATAATGATCTGGGCTTCCAAGTATTCTAGATATCGGTAAAGTTTCCTGTACATTCATGGACAATCAAATATCTCCCAGAAACTAAAATCTTCCACAAATTTGTATTTGCATGTTTTTTCCACTGTATTATCAAATGCCTGCTGGAAGTCAGCTGATGATAGATATCACCACATACAGCTCTAACCACATCAGAAAAATTAAATAACAAATAAAATGCTAAATATGCAAATGTGTAAGGATACTATTTTCTGCGAGTGCAATCCTGGATCCACTGTTATCATAAAACTCTAATCCATTCAATCCAATGTAGTAAGGATCGCCCCAAGTAGCTAGCAACTGGAACTGAAAGACAACTGATAACAGAATGTTAAGGAAGATATACGGACACACAAAAACATCCAATGAAGTTAAAAACAATATTGTATATAATTTTTTTATCTTTCACAATCAAAGAGCATGTACATAACCTGCAAATTAAAAGAATGGAGTTTTATATACTTAAGTCAAAATTATATTTCAACAATGTTTCATGTGAATTATAAATTTATTTAGTTTATTTGATTGACAGAGTGCTTGGTTAACAGACTAATTTGCATAACATAAGGATACATCCACTTGGCATCAACATGGATACATATTCCTGGCTCGGTTCTTCCATCGCAACACGACTTTGCCTATCAAAAAGAGAAAATATTCCTTGTTTAAATTTGTGCCTCCACTAAAACGCTATGACAGCAGTTTGAGGGCAGCAAATAGCAATGTAATACTGAACAGTATTGCTAATATTACATGTTCAGGTAAGAACAAGCAAACTTAATACAATACTAGGTGACTGGCATGTATGCATCCTAACCAGCAAAAGCTTTTCTGTTGTTTTGTTTAGGTACAGTGGTGTATTATTCATACCTACCATTACTGAATGTGGAAGCATGTGGTGCAGTTTTAAAGCTGCCAGCTTTCAACAGAAAAATCAGGGGTTCGAGTCCGATAGAATCCATGTGTCTTTGTCCTCAGGGAATCTACGTTCCCTCTCTACACCCAGAAATACAACATGAGAATCTGAATATATACTGACAGAGGACCTCACTGGGATGCGTTAGTATAACATTTGGGTACTGGCAGGGTATAATGTAGCATGCAAAACTGATACTGTTGTATTACTATTATTATCATCACTTTAAATGACCACTGCCTCTCTTTTTGCATGCTTTAGTATGTTCTAATATCTCGTTGAACACAAGTTACCTGAGGGCTTCTGGGATACGTCTTTCAATCTGTCGGTGGCTGGATTCACTTTGCTTTGCTGTGAACAGGATCTCTTGTGCAAAGTCAAAGAAACAGTTGCCAGGGCCTTTGCGTATGAGGAAGCCCTCTGGAGGTGAGATTTGATGATTATCGAGAGAAACATGAAACACTTTGGCCTAAAGAAAAAAAGATAAAAATTAAAGGAATCTTGGCACTATTCAGTTTACCCAGGAAAGTATTCATAATATAGACAATTCAGATTCCTTATCACTGACTACTACTACTAGTAGATGAAAACATTGTCTCCAAGGAACATACCCCTCTGTATGTGTCCTCTGCAGTTTTATTGTAGTTCCATATCCGTAACCCTGAGATCTCCTTGTGTGAATCAAATTTTATTTCTAGAATATGGGCATCCCCATCGGTGAATGGAATCATCCACATGTGCTCATCCATGTCTGTTACATTTACGTTATCAATTAATCTGAAACAAAGGAAATAATGGTGAAATTTATCAATCTATCAATTAAAATATTACATTATAAAATATGATATGGCAGAGAGACCATTTTGTAACACCTAGAATCTCCTTTACAAAATTAGGAGTATTAAGCATTGGATTTTAAAAAGTCTTGAAATATAAGAATTTTCTTCGAAGGACCACAAAATATAAATATCCCCATTTCGAAATTAAATATGTTTATATTAAATATTGTTATTTAATGTTTCTTTGTCAACAATGGTGTATATAATATTGAAAAAATAGTAATAATAACAATAATAAAATAAATTATTTATACTCACTTATCTAATGTTCTATCATCTAAATCATATTCTGGAAGATCATTCAAATCTCGTGGGCAAGCCTGGAGCATGTCAAAAGTCAAAGGTATTGGGTCACCATTCTTATCCATGACCTCCAACCCTGTCAAACCCATGTAGTACTGATCGCCCCAGGTGGCAGTGAAATTGAGACGCAGATCTAAGTTAAATTTGGAAAAAAAAACAAATATTGATATTAAAATATTTTAAATTGATGATAAAAATATTTTGTATTAACATTTTTGATAAAAATATATCAAAATGGTATAATATGCCAATAGCAGTTAAAACATCTGGTACTCTTAAATTTGTAGTTCGGGCTCACACTGATATAAATAATGAAACTACTTCCAAAGGCAATAACAAATGTGACAACTTGATTTTAGACAACTAGGTAACCAACTTAATTCCATTTGCACATGGGCCTGGTATAATGTTCACGTAACAAATATACACTATCATCATCTCCCTTATAAATCACACATATTACATACAATAGGAAGCTCCAAAACAAGCCAGTCAATTTTTTTTAACCAGGTTTAGACAGGAATATTATTACTGTACGTACTTGATCCTTTCCATATCCCATTCGCAATAGGTGCTTTGGTATGAGCAGGGTGACTTTGAGCTTTAGGTGCTAGGCCTACAGCCTGCTGAACATCCACAGGATGCGGGGTGAGCGAGGGCTCAGAGTGGGAGGCTTCAACAGCCTCTGCTTGTTTCTGCTTCTTCCTGAATATTCTGGCCGTAGTCATGGGTCGGTTCTAATAAAAAAAAGATAGTTTACTTAAGCTCTTTCCAATTTGCCCATATATGGTTATGATGATGTCACATTACATCCATATATGTATATACAAAACAAACAAAACATTTGAAATATGAGTTACCTCTCCCACATCAGCTGTCCTAGGCCGATCCATGTGGGCATCCTCATCCAGGCTGGAACTGAACCAGTCCTCTTCCGCTACATACACTTCGTCATGTCTGGAGATCATTTCCAGGATCTCTTCATCAGTCGTGAAGAGGATGGTCTAGAAGTAGAGTAAATAAATGTTGAATTAGAAAATAATTAATTTAGCCCTCCATCTTGGACACAAGCCGACAAACATATCATTATTTTGGTATGAAGCTGTGTTTAAAACTCCTAAATACTATATGTAATGCTTTAAGAAAAAGTCAGAGCAGCAGAAGAACTTACATCACCAAATGAGTCTTGTTCAGAGGTTAAGTTTCCAGTTGCTCTATAATGCAAGAGATACATTATTATGACATGAAAATATAACTTGTTATAGATACAGATACATTGTTTTATTGTCAGAAAACACATGCACACACATAAAATAAAATCAATCCCTACTTTAAAATGGAAGATACAAAAAGACAATGCAATGTTAAAACTTGAATTATCAAAAACTGAACAATTACTGTCAAAAATGTGTATCTCATCACATAAAATTTCAATTTATATACTGCAAATGAAAATATATCAAACATACAATAAATAATTCAAAACTAATCGTGTACAATAAAAAACGTTTAAGTAAATCTTTAAACAGGGTAAAATTGTAAATTCAGGATTATAAAATGGAAGACAAAAAATGTAAATGGATTCGCTAAAACTGAACTTTAATCACGTTGAATTTGGTATCCCATAACATTGAATTTCAAATTATGTAAATGAAAGCATATCAAATATATAACAAAAAATCAAAGATTCTAGTTCATTAAAAACCATTTAATACATTCTTCAAAATATAAAAAATATATAAAAAATATTGTTATTATGTATACCTTGTGAAAACACACAATAAAGACTTATTAAAAACAATATCACAAAATAAAATATTGAGATCAGCTTTAAAAACTAATAAGTCACCTTTCTATTTCTCCTTTGAAAATGAAAGATTCATCCAGGGCTATTTCAATATTCTTAACTCCTCGGAAGGAATGAATTCGCGATTTGTTGTAATTCTGAAATAGATAAAAGAAAATTCACTATAAAACAGTTTTATAGTAATGATGGAGTTGTATCTTAAGATTCTCCCTTTTCAAATCATGGTTATAGTACATCATTATGAAAAAAAAACATTCCTTAATAAGACTTGGTCATATTATCCCAGCTTCCAACGTGAACATTATTATGAATAAATCATAGAATACATACCCAGATACGTATCATGGCTACCTTGGCCGGTGATTCAAACGTTAACATGATTGTGTGTTTATTGCCACTGCAGAATGGAGCTAACCACATGTTGGTGTCGTCACGTGTCCTGTTGATTCCATTGATGAGGTTTGTAACGACTCTCGGGTCATGTTCATATTCGTTTAGGATGTTAATATCAGCAGGATCAGCAGTTATCTACATTAAAGCAATCATATTTTTATATACTTTTAAACGGGTCTATTTAAAATATTCTGACCAACTAATCTTCAAATAATTTTCAAATACTCACTGAAGATATCTGAACTGGTTCTCCAGTACTCTGGAAGACTTCAATGCCATTTAATCCAACATAATGTCGATCACCCCACGTACTCTTGATATTGATAGTCAGATGTTGGCCAAACGGTAGCAGAGGAATTTCAAACTCATCACTAAATAAAATATCAGAAAGCGCTTATTTCCATTCATCTATATTATCATGCACCATAATTATCATTAGGATTATATTACATTACTATTATCATAATTATATATTATCAGGGGCGTTAGGCTGGTTTTGGCCTGAGGGGGTGCGAAAAATGAGAATAAAGAACTAAATCCCAGAATGCAGAATTAAATCCCTAATCCACTGAAAACTTGATGGTAATATTTAGTGTTTTAACGCACTTAGTAGAAGTAATTTGCTGCCTTGGTAAGGGGGGGGGGGAGTGTGTCTGCACGCCACACCCTAGCTTACTCCTATGATTATAATTCTCTATTAATCTTTATCATCATCTTCATTTTGATAGACATTCTTTTTATCTTACTTATGTTTTAATTAACTTTTCATATACACACCATTAAATAAATATATAAAACAAATAAACTAATAAATTAAAAACAATTTTCAAAATAAAATAAATAATTAATAAATAAATTATTGAATGAATGAATTAATAAATTATATATTAAGTACCTGCTATCATCTCTCTCTGTGGTGGTCTCCTTTCTTCCACTCAAAAGCTCATCCATTACATCTCCTGCAATTAAGCAACATGTTCAGTGATTAATGTCCCATATTGAATATTCATAAAGTAAGAGCCTGCATTCATCCGAAGTTTATTGAAAATACAAACATCCTGAGGTCTTAAGCTCTGTCCAGATTATCAAATTTTCTTTGACAAATAACTGTTGTATGCCCATATTTAGTCACGAAGTGCCTTTATATGGTCACGATGTGATGTCATCATGACCATATTTAGGCATATCCCATGTTTTTGTCAAATAAAATGTGATAGTATGGCCAGGGCTTTAATCATCTTAATTTGCTGTAATAAAAACGAAACTGATACATGAATTTCATTTCAGTCCACACTATATCACAGCAAAATAAAATGGGATTTGCATATAAATTCATTTTCTCACCTTCTGTCTCTAAATTCAGATTAGAAGATATCCGCCCCCGGTGTGATTTATCGAAGAAAGATAACGATGTCCATGATTTTTCTAGGCTCAGATCCTGCTGTTGCCGCCATCGACTCCTCCGACCATGTGTAATATGCTCTGATTCATCTTCATCCACGTCCTCTTTCAAAACTTTCATCCGCCATATTACGTCTTCATGGTCCTCAGCAATAGCAACTTAAAAAAAAACATGCAATGCGTAAGTTTCAGAATAACTTGATACAAAACTTTGTGAGTTTTTGGCCCATGTTTATCCCTGTACGCCGGGAATTTGCGAAACCTCAATATTTCTCAATCCTTGATTGGCGAGAAAAAGCATGACAAATTTCACATACTTTGTCTTTATTATAATGATGGCACTTACCAGGAAGGGCGTGTGAGCGTTTGAACAATGCATCATCCCCATCCTCAATCTCAGCACTACCACTGGAATAAAAAAAAAAGGATAAAATTTCAATTATTTATACATATAAATTATCAGAAACGTCCATATTTCAACTCAATGTCTATATTTCAACTCAATCTTTTTTTCTTTGTTGGTCAGCAGTGTTGTAACCTTTAAAAGGATTGTTGATCATGACCCATAATTTGAGAACCAGAGGTTAAAGGTTAGGCCCAGTGTATGTGTTTCATAAACTGAAAAGCCACTCAACCTATCCCACCTAAATTATTTACCTACCTTTCTTCCTTCTCATTTCCAGAAGTATCATCTGTAAAAAAATGGTAAAATTAGTTAATACCATTATGATTAGTTTGGGATTCAAATACTGAAGAAGGAAATGTTTGTTTAAATGTAAAACTAATTGAAATACCATTTGCAGTCAAAGACACAATTGGCGTATCTTTGCAATATGAAGGTTAACAATCAAAAGAGAAGCATAAATATAAAACGACTAAAAGAAACTTAAAATACAGAAACATTTAAACATCAAAAAAGATGCAAAAATCACTATAAAGTAAACATCTAGAATAAAGCGAAATTAAAACAGAAATGTACATTACGTAATTAAACATATAAAATATGGAAACAAGATCAAAGGAGGCAGCAAAAACGTTCATTGCTTAAAACACCTAAAATACAGAACAACAGTGAAGCTGGAATAATTAAAGTCAACTTGTTTGGTTCATTTTACAGATATAATTTTTAGGCCTTGGGTGTAAATGTAAGAAATGGCATGAGGCTATCAAAATACCTAGAAGCTTAAATATTTCAATCAATCAATCAATCAATCAATCAATCAATCAATCAATCAATCAATCAATGTATTCTCTTTCTTGTCTTTCTGTACCAAAACTTCACTTAAAACTTGTTACCTTTAAAAAAAAAAATTAAAAAATAAAAAATACATATATAATCAAGAGATATTTACCTAATGGCCCAAACCATGGAGGCCTTTTCTTTACTTTATTCTTTCTTTCCTTTGAATTCTTCTGAGATCTATACAATAGAAAGTGAGTAAAATGAATTATGTATATAAGATGTTGAATAATATTTAATAAAAATATAAAGTAATTTTAATCTTATTTAAAAACTATAGTATTTACAACTTGAAATACAAACAGATGTCAATCAGTAAATCAATCAATCAGTCAATCAATCAATCAATCAATCAATGTATGCAGCAATTATGTAATTATCTTTTGTCTTTCTGCACAAAAAAATGACTGATTTGCTAAACATTCACATAAAAGTTGTTACTTTTTCTAAAAAGGAAAAATATTTAAAAATTAAAACAAAAAATATAATCTATTTTCTACGTAACTGAAAGTGAATAAAATGAATTATTTATATAAGATGTTAAATGATATTTAATAAAAATAAAAATTTCATTTAATCTGATTTAAAAACTATATTATTAATAACTTGAAAAACAGGTAGACATATGGATGTAAATGGACAGATGACAGAAGAACATGAACAACAATGACTCACACATTAGCAATGGGAGGATGGGGAGGTTTTAACCATAAATGATTACTGGATGATCTGTGAAGACAGAAATGTTCAATGTAAAAGACAGAAGCTATACCACAAAGTATTACATTTACACAACATAAGGACATCATGAACTGGGTTAGAATGTTCAATTTTCTATTATAAAATATTCACTTTTGGTTAGAACAGTAAAGATCTACTCCAACATAACTGGCATGGTTAACTAACATGACTACTATTTCTTTGTTATTTACTGGAATTGATGTAGCATGAATGCTTCATCAGTCATCATCTGGATTGATGGCAGCATTAGATGATGGCAAGGTTCTTTTTTCTGTTTCACTTCAGATTTACTTCAACATACAGTAATTGGGCAATGTTAAATAACATGACTGCACAAAGCATTACCAGTATTTACTACTATTCTTACTTTGTTATTGACTGGATTTGCTGCAGCATGGATGCTTCATCAGAGTCATCATCAGATGGTGGCAAGGTTCCTTTTCCAGGTGGATTTGAGGTTTCTGCTGGACTGTTATCAAATCTTGCTGCAATTCCTTGTCCGTGCATTCTTGGTGAATCCTTGAGATGGGATGCCTTACTTAAAGATGCTAATAATAACCAGATAAAATTAAAAAATATTGACAAAATGTTTGCACTGTTAGCTTAAATCTCAGTATATATGATGAACATATTTTAATAAAACTTTATTCCGGTACAACGTACCTTTAGCATCATACGATGATTTAGTCGATGCAAATATTGTGACAGAACTGTCAACTGTTGGTATATCCAGTCCATCTGTTGAGTGGTTCATCACTCTGGTTTCTGACCTGAAGAATGAACCAGAAGATCCTCTGGCAGTTTCATCAAAGTACTCATTAGGACTTGACTCAATGTTAATGCTTCTGCTAAAAGAAGAACTTATCTGGCATGGCGAATGTGATCGCTTTGGTTCAATCTCTTTATCAGGTTTATAAAATTGTTCTTCAGAATTTCTTACTTTGTTTTGAACTACTGATGTCATGTTCTCTTTAGAGTTCTTTGACTTGGTAAAAGATTCTGGACTCTCAGAGACTTCTCCTGGATGTTTTTCAACAATATGTGTCTTACTTCGAATTAAAGAGCTTTTAATAACTCCTCTTGAGGCAGTCTCTGGGAATAGCTGCTTATCAATTTCCATGGCCACATTTTCAGTTTCTGAAGAGCTAATGGTCCTACTGCTACTACAAAGAGCAGCAGATGTGACTGGTATACAGGTACTATAATCAAACACCTGGTTTCCACAACCTTTGTCAATAGTACCAACCCAAATCAGTTTACCATTGAAAAACACCTTGATGTCTTTAACACCAATGCTAAGTACCTAGAAAAAAAACCCAAAATTGATTGATGATTTTTGGTAAAAGAAAAATATTTATAAATTTTCCTGCTTTCAAACTTACAAAATAATTGGGAAAAATGAATCAAACAGGACAAAAATAAACACAAATACCCCCACTGCCTAAAAAAGTACATAATATATATTTTATGGCATCATGTACTACCTATACCAAAACAGAAGATGCACAGTTGTCCAAAAATCTTGTGACATCAAGCAGAAGAGACTAAAGAGGACTGAAACACCAGAATGGAGGTGATGGTCATGACTAAAAAGATGACAATGATGATGATGATGACGACAACGATGATAAAAAATATTGACAATGACAATATTGACTATGATGACAATGACGATGGAAATCCTTATTATAACGTTTACTATTATTGTCTATGTTTTTTTAACTATAAGCAAGCATACACTAACAATTTGGAGTACAATAGTTACCTCATGATTGCTACCTTCAATTACCCAACTCTGATGTTAAAGCAAAAATTATAAAGAAAAAAAATATATAAATGAACAAAACAAAAGAAACTGTAGTAATAATTCAGAAAAATAAACAAATATTTTAATAACAGAGCCACTATATCTTTAAATGTAAGAAGAGCAAGCTAACTTAAGGTGGAAAAATGAATAAACTTCTAAAAACCAAAGAAAGTATATCTTCAAGCTCTTTAAATAAATTACTTACATTTAAGTTCTTATTGTAGTTCCATATTTTCATTTTGCTTATTGCACTTGAGTTCACTATGAACTTTAACCTCACTACATGACCAGGTGTAAAAGTGTAACTCCACATATTTCTGTCTTTTGTTGTCTGAAAAAAAAATACGAAAATGTATAAGACCTTTAATGAAAGTTCTACTAAGGCTTCTCTGTTATATAATGTAATGAGAACTGACAGAAAGAGGGAATGCAAAATGTTAGGTCATTTCCAACTGTGGGATGAAATATAAAATATTTTAAATAGATAATATAAGCTTTATCAATTTGTTCGTATGGAAGATTCCCCAGCCAATCCTTGCAAAAAAAATGTATTCTGGACCTACGGCCCTGAATCCCACTCCTACACCGCATTGTATAAATCTTAGATCCTCCAAAAACCTTTAATGCTCACCTTTGTCTTGCCATTAGTTAGGTTGCTAGGGTCCCCAACCTCGCCTTCAACACCACCAACCAGACTCACTGTGTCAGCTGCCATGCTGATCTTCTTGCCATCATTACTAAAGAACTGAACCTCGGTGAGGCCTAGTCTAGAGGCATGTCCCCAGTTAGAGATTAACTCCAGAACAACTTCTGTTGAACCAGTTTGTGGTTTCATGGATGGTAATTCTTGGGGACTGTTTGTCTGTAAATCATAGTATTCATTGACAATAAAATGAAACCAAAATGATGAATTATGTAGAGGTAGTAAACCTTTGAAAAATAAATTTTTGTGTGTTTATGATGATGATGATGATAGTGTTGATAATAATGACAACAATGATGATAAAAATGACAATGGTTATAACTATGATGATAACAACAATGACAATAATGATGATAATGAATGACATGACTTAGATTTTTCCTTAATGATATTCAGGAAAATGATGAAAATGATAATAACAATGATGATGATGATGATGATTCTGCTGATGATAATGATTACCATGATGATGATCACCACCATAATGGTGATGATGATGATAATACTGATCATGATGATAACAATGATTAAGTTCATAATCATGATGAAGTTGATGATAATGACAAAGAAATGATGACGATGGTGATAAGGACGATCACGATGATGGTGATAGCAATAACAATAATGATCATGATGACAAAGTTATTGACATGTGTCATCCTTACCTCTGCTCTAGGTGTTAACATATCTGACACTGTGTTGCTAGTTGATGCAGTATCAACTCCACTATCGTCAGGCATCTGGTAGCCATGAGGACTACTAGACGACTTTTCGATGTCTGTCAAAACTCTGAGAAACTTCCTCTGAGACCTGAGAAAAAAAAAAACCAGTTAAACGCATCTATACTTAATATAATTAAAACCAAACAAATATATGGTTTGTTTATTATTAACTTTTGGAGGGTTGTACATAATACCAATGATGATTTACTAATTAAAATAATAGGGCATGAAAAATTCATCATGCCAATTACAAGTACACAACATATGAGGCATGTCATCGCAAACAGTGTAACGTTGCAATATTATACTGAGATAAAATGGGTTTAATGATAACCACACCCTAGGTAAAAATCTCACTAAAGGAAGTTAAGTAACTACAGATAAAATTTTTTGTTGTTACTTACTTTTCATCCATACACTTCACCTTATCAACAACATAAGCTAACTTATCGATATCAAATTTTGTTGATGTCTGCACCTCCTCTGATGGTAAACTGCCATCATGCTGCATTACAACTCCTGCTGTTACAGTTTGAGGGCGCTTTTCAGTTGCAGTTTCCCTTACCTCATCCTATTGTTAAAGAAATTGCATCATTAAGATTATATTCATAAAAGCCTTGAAATATATACTGGTTACTATGGAGAACCACACTGGTACATCATAGTGCTCAGCAATTACCTACCAAGCGGTCATTACTGCTGAATGCCCCACAGCTACAGACTTAAAAGCCATTTTATGTATTCTGATTAAAAACATTAAAAATCACCATACAAATATACAATATTAATTAAATTTAATATAGGTATGCAAGGCACAAATGCAGGTAAATATATTTTGATATAAATATGTTACAAAGGTACGTAAGTTGAAAAGCTATGGAGACTGTCTTAGCCTCTAGGAAGAACTCTGCCGCATTCAAGGCTTGAAAACAACTGCTCACTCACAAATTGTCACATTGTTTTGTGACATCAGCGAGGCAGTATTCTAACTGCCAAGATACGGAGCCCTCAATTCTCTTTAAGATTTACTATAAAAACAGCAAATACTAACCATCCTTTGACCTGTAGGTGGCGCACTTTTAGCACCATTATCCAAGTTCCTAACCAGAGCCTCATTCTCAGCTTTCATTGCAGCCATGATGGATGATGCATCTTCCACGCTGTCTCCTTCAGGACTCCTCTGTTTCCTCTTGGCAGCCGACAGGGGCCTAGCCTTCCGCCTTGGAGACACTGTAACAAAGGGACAAAAGGTAAATTCTGATATGGTTTTTGGTACTCAGAATATATTCATCAACATACCAGCAACATTGATATGTGTATGTGATTGGCCAACTTGGAATGGGGTCAAGACCACCAATACCAATTCCAGTTGGATTTATCAAATTGTTACTGTATGTTTTACAATATCAAATTTCACCCATATGAAATAAAATAAAGATAAAATAATGAACCATAGTCAATCTTATTACCTGTTTCAAACTCATCTAAAATAGGTCTCGTCTTTTCCTGCTGTTTCCTTCGCTGCGATCCTTTCATTTCCACCGATTCCGAACCACACTTTCTCCTGAAAAATTGACATTAACAACTATAATAAAATGGCCAATTCACAGCTAAACTTGAGATTTGGTTGATTATATGATTGTGTGATTGTGATAATGATGAGGTGCTTGTGATGATAATGATGAAGGAATGTTGTGATTGTCTTGATTATGGTAATGGAATATTATAATTGTAATAATGACATTCTTACGTGCTCTTGAAAATATATTAACTTCATCTTGATTTAAGAATAAAACCAAGTAATGAATAAGAATAATACACTTACTTTGCTGATAAGTCTGTCACTTGTTGTTTTAATCCTAAAAAGAAATATTCAACTCACTATTAAAGTTTCCACTGTAAAAATGTCCATATATAAATAAAATATTATATGCATAGGCTAGTATTTATAGCTTTCAGATAAAAAATAACAAACATACCCTTTTTTGGGTCATCAAACTCGAGGACTATCGTATCACCAGGCATGAGGGCCGAGTATTGGTTGGCCCTGCCCACATCTAGACTGTCAGCAACATCTATCTCCTCCTCAATTTCATCCTCTGATTTATCATCTTCTAGGGGCTGAAAAAGATGCGGGAGATTTATTGGGTAAAAGTGAGTTGCAAGAGGTTAGTGCAGTGCAACATTCGTTAAACTGGTTTTAGTTGAATTTGAAAGGAAAATGCTGTAGGTACTTGAAAAGGGAGCGGCATACACAATTTGGCAAGACTCATGATATTCACACTAAGCTATAAGGATTCCTGGTTCAAATCCTTTTAGTACTTTTCTTGTGTATCAGATACGGGGCTTAGGCAAGCCTTTTTATACCTTGTTTCGCGAACTTATTTTTTTTCGTCATAGGAGGAATGAAAAAAAAAATTAATTTTTCTTATTTAGCAAATGCTTTTGCCAAAAAAATCTAGATGGAGGAGGGTAAATATTTGATTTTATTGTTTAATGTGAACAGTGTAGTAATGGGATGGTTAAATGCTTTAAATATACAACTAGGAAGAAACATACATATTGTATTATTGAAGATTTTAAGGCAGTGGTGGGCATAATAAATTAAAGAAATTTTCATTTTTTTGTGGCGGCGGTTGCGCTAATTGGTATACAAATAGTCTCGCCTAATATAAGTTAATACAGCATCTATTGATTTTATATTCAAATCATCTTCATAGTCAATGAACCATGCAGCTTTCCATTGCTACAGATAAAGTACAGAAAATATAATAGGCATTCCAAGATAAACATGGGTAAAATTAAGTATTACCAATGCTTTTAAACTGGCTAATAAGAAGGTGCAACTGAGTTGGAACTTACCTTTCGTGATAAACTCTTCCTGATGTCATTGTTCATTTCTAGACTCCGCCTTAAGGTCTGTAAGATGTAAATTTAACATGAAGGTACATTAGAGGACATCAGCTATGTTTCAATCTATGTCATTACTATAAAAATAATTAATAATTCATTTAAATTATGGTTTATATTAGTCAAAGGAGCAATAACCAAAACAGTAAAGCCAAATGCCTTATGTATAGTAAAGTAATCTGAAACTTAATGACTGACAAAATTACCACAAAGTAAAATAAAAGCTTTTCTTCAAAGGCAAAACAATCTGTCAAATATTTCAAATGAATAAAAAGACGAACAAGTAGTATTGGTTTGTTACCATTGTCCTTTGACCTGCTTTCTTTCATATACCATAATTCATGAGTAATTCTCAATTTTTCTGATTCCTCTATAAAAATAATAGTGTCTCACCTTTACTTCCTCAAAACTAAGAATCAGTTGTTCATTGATACCATTATCCTCAGGTTCAGAATCACACTCAGAATTTGCTGCCCTCAATGGTTGATTAAAACCCTTACTGTCGATTTCCAAATCACTGTCACCATCTGATGGTCCTTCTAGAATCATGGTAAGGCTCTCAGCTAACTGTAATATAAACCAGTCAAAATTGAATAAATAGTTGAATAAAGATATAATTATTAATGCTAAGTTTATTACTCTTTGAAAGCATCTTAGCTAAGCCGGCTAATCTGGTGGTAGCCACTGTGTGTGTGCTGAACCGTAGAGATCTCTAGGTCCCCGGTTCAATTCCCATCGCTGCTTCTCATTGTGTTGCAACTGGAGAGCTGAAATACAAGTTACAATAGCACACCGTCTTTTGGATGAGACGTTAAAGCCGTTGGTCCCGTGTGCATTTATGGCCTATGTGCACGTTAAAGAACGCAGAACACTCTTCGGGAAAGAGTAGGGGATTGTCTCCTGGTGTACTGCCCAATCACCACCAGAAGGACCCCACTGGAAATAAGTCTTCTTCTAGATTTTCGAGGGCTATCCTTGGTGTTTACATCAAATAAATCCAATCCAATCCACTCTGTGGTAAACAATGCAAGTCTCCTTTTTTACACATCTACCAAGGACATTACTCCTAAAGTATACGATAGCTCTTTGATCTATAAATGTGAATGCCCTGGCTGTAATAACAGTTACATAGGAAAGATGGATAGATAAATTAAGACAAGAGTAAATGAGCATGCTCTCTAAATCAGACAGCAGTATTCATGAGCAAATAAAACAATGTGAGGGGTTTAACCATATCATGGAAATCAACAATATTTTCCTGCAAAATGTTAACATTTCATCAAGAAAACTTTAATAATAGATAATACCTTAATTCTGTGTTGCTCACTACACTGGTCAACAAATTTAATGATGGAGGCTTTGGCTATTAGGCATTTCAAGCCTGTATTAAACACTGGGTTAAGACCATCTATAGAACTTTCATTCTTAATTCTGAAATTTTGTTTATCACATTTACTTTGTAAGCATTGTTTACTGTTAAATATATTTCACTGGAATTATCTTATTGTTTATTTCATTTCATGAGACCCTAATTCATCTAGCATTCCCAGGCTTTTCTATACTTTTGTTGTTTATTCTTGTAAGCATTTTCTATTCTACTGTTAAGTATTTTTCACTGGAATTATCTTATTGTTTATTTCATTTCATGAGATTCTAATTCATCTAGCATTCCCAGGCTTCTATACTTTTGTTGTTTATTCACTGTTATTCATGAAAATGATTGATCTACTTTAATGTATTAAGACACACTTCATTTTTAATTACCTCATTTTAATTACCTACCTACCAGTCAGTATCATGCATTGCAATTAATTGGCCAGTTTTAATTTTGTTTTTAATCTGATTAGTCTGTTTTTATTTACTTTTGTTTATAAATACTTCCGTAAATATATATAGATGGGTGAGATTTTCTCATCAGTATTCTTGAAAAAGGTCAAATAGATCGAAAAGTTGAATCTCAAAATGTCTGTCCTTTTTGGAGTTACTGTCTTTTTGTATTATTTACAGACTAATTAGTGGATCCTCTGGACTTTGAATAAAACAGGTATATAATGTTTCTCTGGCATCCTTTTCTTAAGGCCAAAAAACTCTCTGGCTTTTAAAAAATTGTGATGATGAAATTATATTTTTTGTCTATTAGACTTTCTACACTATGATTTCTCTGCATTTTATTTTTATTTTATTAATTTCGGCAACAAAAGTGACAAAGACACAATACAAACTTAAATGCACCATGGAGTGGCAAAAGAGGTCAGAGAACTTCTGTCGCTAAGAGGTGTACCATATTCACTTCGATATTTGTATTCCTACCTGTTTATGGTCATCGTCATCACTGTCAGTTCTTTCACATTCTTCATCTTCAAAATCGTCTTCATAGGCAATTCCATCTAAGGATAAAATAAATATATTTTTGAGATGTAAAAGTGTTCTTTATAAGTGTACGTCTTTATATGGGTACTGTATACAAGATGTGGGGAATTGTGGGACACCGTTGTGGAGCAGTGAATTTTCATCGTAAATCTTTTGTACTGTAATACATGTATGGTACGTTATTTGTGAGATGCGAGAAATTGTAGTTCAGTTGAGAGCACTCAATGCGAAGCTTATCAATGCGCTTTTTAACCACACACACACACTCACACACACTAAAGGAGCAAGAGATTGGGAGAAGAGGCCAATGAAAGAAAAAGATGAGTTTTGAGTAAAGCCTTGAAGTTGTCTAGCATGGAAGCTTGCTTGATGTATGGGCAGTTCATTCCACTGCATGGAAGAATCGAAGGAAAATGATCTTTACCCATGATAGAGTATTGACCTTTGGAATTATGAGTAAGTACGTAATTTCCATGAAGGATTATGAATTAAAATATTAAGTTGCCTTATGTAAGTTTATAATGCAAGATCAGTGAGATTCAGTGGAAATGGTACTCAAAAATATAAGCCATGATGCTTTAGTACAACTGAGAATGCCATCACATGATACATAATGAGACAGAGGTTCAGTCAATTGAAGAGAAATCTCATACATCTTCCAATGGCAATGTGAGATATATGATGAGATTTGCAGTCCAGCATTGTTTGTGATTTCCAGTCTAAAAATAATGCAAAATTAAAAGATTTTACATTTGAAATTTGCTACCCATATACAGTGGCGTCACACACGGGCGCTGACGGGGGGTAGAGCGCCAGTTCCCCCAGGCACGAGGGGCCCCAACTTAGTTTAAAAAAAAATTATAATATAAACTATAATACCGAAACAATTTTAAACAATAAAACTGGGTTCTGATGTTTGATTCTGTGATCAATCAGCTTTGCATTGTATGTACATTATTAAAAAAGGTTTTGTTTCTCACATACATAGAGTACATATGCCTACTGTAGGCCTATACCAGTTCTGAAAGTTGGCCTATGCAATCTATGTTCTCTGACAACGCAGTTAACAATTCATAAATGCCATAAGCTCTGACCGCGAGGGGCCTTCACCCCCCTGGACCCAAACCTGGGCCCTGCGCGGCCCTCAGAGTCTGTTTGATTGCTCTGCTCGCAAACTTAAGGCTCACTTCGCTCGCTTATTAGGGCCCCCAGCAACAATCACCGCCAGGGCCCCACTAACTCTGTGACACCACTGCCCATATATGGGAATGCTGATGTCATATCTCACCTTTATGGACTAAGCATAGGTATATCATCACATAAAACTTGATAGCATAGACAAAAGTAAAGAGTGTAATAAAAGTGGTTGTTATGCTACAGTATTTGCCATAACACTTACCTTTTGTCCTGGAATGAACTTTTCCCCCCTTGCTTGTCTTGACATCAATAGATTCCTATCATAAAATTAAATAAAAAAAAATAAAAAAAGAATTTATACAGTTTGGTGAGTACCAAGTAAATATTTTTACTCTATCATCTGCATTTGTAAAGATGGATTAAAGAAACATAACTATAAATAAAACATACTGCACTGCATTGATTTTAAAATCATGGATTACATTAATAATATGTATACAAAACAAACTTTGGTTTTAGAGCCAAGTTGATAGAAATATTGCTAAATAGTATAATACTACAGATGGATAAGAAACATAACTATAAATAAAACATACTGCACTGCATTGATTTTAAAATCATGGATTACATTAATAATATGTATACAAAACAAACTTTGGTTTTAGAGCCGAGTTGATAGAAATATTGCTAAATAGTATAATACTGGGATAACTGAGCACCTGAAAAACATCTATTATATTACATACAGTGGTTATAAATTTTACAGACATCGATACAAAAGATTACTTTATACAAAATAAACTTTGGTTTATAAGTGAATTTGATAGAAATATTGCTTCGAAAGCATAAAACCAGGGTTATTAAGCAAGTGATTGACATCTGTGGATATAAAATATTACTTAATAAACAAATTAAAATTAATAGAAATATTGCTTGGTGAGTAAATTACTGGGAAAATTGAACACCTCGTTGGCATAGAACAGACATCTTTAATATTGCAATGAAATTATTCCACTCTGCTTTTGGCAAGAAAAATAGGAAACCAGTTTTTTACATAAAAATCTGTTAATCTGGGGATATTCTCCGACCACTGCTCATCTCTGACAATGTCCCCCAGTATCAATGTCTCTTTTAGGGTGTGAACTGCAAACACACATTTTTTCCTGTCCATAAGGTACAACTAGCCCTGTCTCCCATATTAATAATTGTGGGTTTTCTTTAAGGTAACCTTTCCATTGGCATGGCATCATGTATCAAAAAGTTTGCATGTTTATTATTAATCAGTTCATCAATTGCTTCCTCCTCTCCAGTATATGGGCACTTGATTTCTAATATAGTGTCATTGTCTATAATACCATCTAGTGACGCCCCAATTATGCCTGATGTGTGTAGCCACAGTCCAGTTTGGGTTACTTTCATACCTAATGCCCTTTATATCTGCTGCAGCGCATCATCTTTATGGTCGATTCCCCATTGAATGGCTTTGACACCGGATAAATCCCTTGGATTTGACAGTGAATCTACTAGCGATGGCGTTGCTTTTCTTGCTGACAATACTTTCCCGAAATTGCTTGCAGTTTGAATTGGTAGCTTCACTTTTTCTTCAATTGTTTCCGGAAGTAACATCCAATAAATGTGGTGAACATGCCCAATCTTTAAGTCCTGAGACCTTAGCTTCCCTGTCATCAGCATTAGTGCTGCGTTTCTGAGGTGTGTACTTTTTTTCAGCCGGAAAAATTTCCTGAATGCTCTTTGTTCTCTCTACTTTCACCTTTGGTTTGTTCCATTCATATGGTATGTCTGTGCCTGAAACGTTCTGTGCCCACAAATCTAACGTTGCAGAATGCGAACATGGTTAATTGTGACCAGCCTGTTGGGGTTAATGAATTAAATACTAGCTAGGCCTAGCTAATCCCATATCAACTAGCTTAACTCTATGCTAAAAATGAAAAAATATAGTCTGAAAAACACCCTGGCGTAGGCATAGGTTGGTTGATCAGGCACGCTGTAGCCTAACAAAATGTGCCATGCTCAAAACTTGTAAAATTATGGATTGTGATACAGAATTTAACATTTCAATGTTTTCAAGCAATAGATTAATTATTAATTGAATTAATAATCATAGTTAGTAATGTATACATCGCTTTGTACATTTATCTAAATTATTATTACTTTGGATACAGCTCACCGATCGATTCTAGAAAAACCGTAAAAAGGCCACATCGCTTGCAATATTAGAATGCTATTTTTTATAACCTCTGAATGGAAAATGAAGGTAATTAACTTAATAGCAAATATGATTAACAGATTATTCAAAATCAGTAACGTCGTAAAATAATAAGGGATAAATTAATACAAATGACTGCAAATACAATATTAGCAGGGAAACCTAGAACAGCTTGTGAACTGTGATAGAACAGAACAAAATGGCCGACCAAGGTTTGATTGGCCCCCAGAAAAGCCGGTCGCTCGGAAACAAGATGCCATGACATTTTCTCCCTATACTACTTAACATTTGTTGATCCCCACAGACAAAAACAAAAAGTTATTTCTGGTAAAATTATCTTCATTCCTGATGATCTTTGAATAAAGAATGAATATCAATTTACCTATGGCTTCTCTTAGTCCTTTTGGAGTCTACATGACCATATATTAACTAAATTTATATTGGTGATGTGATCTGAAGTTGTTCTTGATAAAATTTAATGATTTATTCCCTTTGATTTGTTTATTCAATTTTACGGCACATTTTACACCACCATCTGCATTTGTACAAATCGATACTACTGTACTTAACAGCTGTTCATCCCCAGGCAGAAGCATAATGAACAATACTGACCATGCTTTTAAAGCAAACAGACGAAGGGCCCCAAATTTGGTATTTAATGGTAACAGTTTGGAGAAAAATATTTAACTCTATAAGTTGTAAATAAAAGAGAATAAAAGTGTTGTATTTGCAACAGACACATACCCTTGGTGAATGTAGGACAAAAAACACTGTGGAAGTGACAATGTAACCTATCCTATTGTTGAGCTACCAAGCCCACCCAACATTTACCACACTACCCACCACACTTAAACAATGGTGTCCAGTGTGGTGGTTTTTGTCTGGGTGGTTATTGTCCAGAGTGGTCTTTGTCCGATTTTCACTCTTGGTGCTATCTCAAGATAGAAAATAGAGTAAAAAACAACAGGAGAGAAACAAAACAATGTGTGGTATTAAGAACGTTGTTTGTTTGTACCTTCAACCAATTACGTCTTTGTGTTTTTGTAGGAGCTGTTTTTGCTCGGTCCTTTACTTCCGTTGTTATAGCATTTGAGTCCAGTACGTTAAGGTCATGGTGTCCTATGAAATGCCTTCGTGGAAGATCTGTTTATACAAAACAAAACCAATACTTAGATGAGTAGGCACTGTGTTAAAATAATATAAAACTGACAAAAAAATATTTGTCATCATTTTATAATAACCAAATACAGTATCATTTTATAATTATTATTATTACCATTATCCTTATTATTATTATCACTATCATTACCACTAAATTTTGGAATATTAATTTTTAAGTTTCTTTTTTGCAGTAAGCTTTTGGCTTTGGGGTTTCAGGCTTCAATTCCCATACCAAGGTACTACTACTACTACCCCCCCCCCCCCACATCATCTGTTTCCATCCATTATCCTTTATTCCAATATCCTACAGCCCTTCAACTTCTTACCTCCCCTCCCTCTCACCACCACCCTACACAAATTAAAAGCTTACCTCCTGCAGTCTTTGGTTTAACTGCTGTTGGACGGCGTGGTGAGAACTGTTTGACTCTTGTAGCGCCTAAGTTTTTGTTGGCACCATTAACATACACAGCAAACCCTTGTTCTTTCCTTTCCAAGTCGATCTGCTTCTCATCTTTTTCTTTGAGTTTCTTGAAAAGCCTTATAATTTAGAGAAATGCACAAAATCCATTTTAAAAAATAATCTTTAATAATCTCTTTTAAAAAATTAAACACAGACATGAATCAGAAACAGAATGCAGAATAATAGGAGAGAATAAGAGAGGATTAACAAGACGTAAGAAAGGGTGTCATATGTTTGGACAAAATACAAAACTAAATCCTCTAGATGACGGAGAAGAGTGATTCTGTTTTTGGGTTTGTGAAAACCAAACAAGCACATTTATTATATCTCAGAGTTAAAGATTGTTTAATAGTATTCCATACTACACAGGACAAAAGAAGTGGACATTCTATCTCGATGTACGATGAAAAATAAAAGTTAACATATCTTATCTTCCTGAATGGAAAGAGGTTGCTTGTATGAAGCGTTTTTCAAAAACTGAAAGGTCCACTGATTAATATCAGATAAGATATTCCTGATGATGACATAATTAATCCCGACACGATGGCGCGCATTTCCATATTTGGAGTATGTATTATACTATCTTTTGCTTGTATGACATACAAATGCATGACATTATTAAATTATTGTACCTGTTCCTCTGCTGCAGTAGAAGTAGATGTTCATCATATCGTGGGTTACTTTCAACTTTCACTGCAGCAACCTTAAAAAAATAATTACATTAATTTATTTAATATGATATTGGGTACAAAAGACAGCAAAAGCATTGCCCAGTAAAGGAAAGCACGACTTCTGCTGAAAGGTATATATTTTTAATGATAAAAACATACAACATAAAAAAGGTGGTAAAATTCTACACACTATACATTCTTCGCAACCTTAAAAAAATAATTACATTAATTTATTTAATAGGATATTGGGTACAAAAGACAGCACAGGGGCGTACGGTGAAAAATCTAAGGGGGGGTCGAAACGAAAGCGCAGGGGGAAAGCTGAACTCGGAGCAATTTAGCGAAGCTTTCAGAAGTCACGGGGTGCGTTATTTGTGAGTGAAGCGAGCATATTTAAAGGGCACTTTCTTTAAAAGGGGGGGTCGACCGCACCCATCGACCCCCCACGGTACGCCCCTGCAGCAAAAGCATTGCCCAGTAAAGGAAAGCACGACTTCTGCTGAAAGGTATATATTTTTAATGATAAGAAACATACAACATAAAAAGGTGGTAAAATTCTACATACTATACATTCTTCGCCTAAACCTTATCAGGCGAGAGTTTTTTTATACCTTGTTTAGCGTACTTAACACCCACACGGAGTAGAAAATTATAATTTTATAGTTGAATGTAAACAGTATAATGGGATGGTTACATTTTTAAAATTTATATAATTAGGAAGAAATATATAGCTTATCATTGGAGATTATAAGGCAGTGGCGGGCATAATAAAAAAAGAAAACCTTACTTTTTCCAGAAATTTCAATTTTTCCTTGGCAGCAGGTGCGTTAATTGACCAAAAATAAAATTTTATTTTTATTTGCAATCATCATTACTGGCGGGTAATTGAGTTATCCACCCCAAATCACCCAATGGCAGGGGTCCAAAGTCTCCTTGAACTAGTGGGAGTCTCCCGGAAATCGGGACGGCATCCCGCATTTCCGCAAGCAAGCATCTCCTGGAAATTACCCCATCTAGACGCAAATTCATAATTTTGCATGTTTTCACTGCTTTATTATCAATTTTCTCTCAAAGGTTTGTGCCGATGGGTTTCTTTGTGCAGCAAAATAAAATTAAATGTGTTTAATTAATAAAGCTCATTAACTAGATCAGTGACAGATTCAAGGGCAGGGGAAGACGTTCTGGGGTAGAAAAGAAAATTATATTCAAATTTAAGTCTGAGATGGCCATTTTCTGACCATTAAGAGTTGCCATAGCCATAGATTTTCTTACCTCAGCTCCAACCATGGTGGTGCTGATGTGGTGTAGACCCTTCCTTTGTGAAAGTCCCTCGCTCCCCCACACCCTTTGACACCCCCACCCCTCCACAGCAGATCTCCTGGAAATGACTTCTTCCAACTTGGGACACTGCAATGGCCCACATATTTGGAAGTCAGGCTTCTGATTTGTTCATGTGAATGATTGAGGAATATTTTGTTTAAAATTTGAAGTGAATCTAGAACCAAAGTGTGTGGCTTGCGCAAACTGCCATTCTCAGCAGAGCTATGAGAAAGTTGAGTATGCATGATAATTCGGATTGATTACACACAGATTCTCTGAGATTTCAAATTTTATTTTTTGGAACCATATTTCAGGTTCTAAGTGAAGAGCTTTTTACTGAAATCATCAATGCAATATTTAAATTAGCAAAACTGTTTATTCAAGTATTCAACCAATCCACTGACACTTCTTATTTGAATGTCTTACCTGAGTTGGTATAATAAACAGTTAATAAAGCATTACAGGCTTAAAGAAGCAGATAGAGAAAAGGTGTTACTTCCATTAAGTACTTCAAGCAGACAACATGACAGATATTGACAAGACCCAAACTAACAAGTTTCTTGGAATGAGAAGTAAGTACACATAAATATTTTTAGTGTAAATGATTTACTGTATACAACCATGTATGTATGGGGTGATCTATGGGGTATATACTCATGTTGCCTCAAGGATTTTATATACGTAAAATGGTTTCCTTTATTGCATTAAAAACACAGTACAGGCACTGAATATTTTTTTGATTAATTACATTAAATTATACAATTACATAATCATTTGCTAGTTTGCTGAAATGCGCATACATTTTTTGTGTCAGTTAATAACAACAAGCCTATTAAATAAAACACATTTCAGATTATATTATTGTCACGTATGTCATTCACTTTAGCCATGAACAAAGTTCAGCTGCAATGCATTTAACATCCAGAAAATTAGGAAATTGAGTGTGTTTTGTTTGATTGAAACACACTACCCATACTTTACAAATAAATAATAGGCTTATCATATCAGTCACCAACACACCAGTGAGAATTTTAAGTTTGTTAAACTTCATTACAGTTGTTTTTTGTATGTTATGACTCAATAGCGAATTGACATAATAAACATTTTGTTTGCCTTTCCAAAAGTCTTTTCATTACTGTACTTTTAAATTTATACTGTACACATATTCATTATATTATTATTATTATTATTATTATTATTATTATTATTATTATTATTATCAGTATTAGGATATTCATTATTAATCAGTCAATTAGTAATTGACTGAATACATACAATAAAAAATGTGTTCCATACATCGCGACTGGTTCTACACCATAGGCTATTAGTATTAACTAACTGTAATATAACTCAAAATGACAATATAAACTAAATAAGAAACTGCAATAAACTAAAACCATAAAGACAGTTATTACAGTTTTTTTTCTTAGGTGAGATTTATTTTCTACCGTTTAGCAAACTTTTTTTTAAAAAATCATCAGAGAAGGGCAGATGGGAAAATTTTGTTTTTTTATTTTGCAAATGGTTTTGCCAAAAACATCCAGGGAAAGGGGGTGGGGAGAAAATAATGTAAACAGTGTATAATAATGGGATTAATAAATGCTTACAATTAATTTAGCAAAGGAAGAAATATATTTTACATATCGGCGAGCATGATAGTGTCTTATAGTAGATTTTTCTGAAAATTCAATTTTTCATGGCTGCAGGAGCGCTAACTGGCCAAAAATTAAATTTTAATAACATCCATAATCCTCATTATTGGCAGATGGCTGGTTGCGATCGCTAAACGAAGTTGGTATAAATAAAATCTCACTTTGGTAGGTCCATGGAGGTATAAAAATCTTTTATATCTCCATCCTGACTGATTCTTGGCGTAATTCTTATTTAGCATGAGGCGAGACTTTTTTTTATTCTTTGTTTCGCGAACTTATTTTTTAAAGATGTCAGGGGAGGGCAGAAAAAAAAATAAAAATTTAATTTTGTTCTCTTATTTAGCAAATAGTTTTGCCAAAAACATCCAGAATGAAAACAAAATATTTTTGGTGAATGTAAACAGTTATAGGATGCTTTAAATTTGTGTAATTAGGTAGAAATACATTTTATTTTGGAGATTTCAAGGCAGCAGCAGGCGTATTATTAAAATAATGAAAAACTTTTCGTTTTTTCTGAAATTTCTTGTGGCAGTGGGTGCGATAATTGGCCACAAATTTTTTTATTGGAAATCATCATTATTGACGGGCAGCAAGTTTGCTAAACAAGGTTACAAAAATTCTCCCTAGTCTGCTTTATCAAAACCAAATTTCTAAAACCTTGAACTAAAAATTATGGTTAAGATTAAGATTTAATACTTCCTTATTATAAAACAACTACGTATAAAAAAACATATATAAAAATATAAATAAAATATAAAATTTATTTTTTTATTTTAGCTTTATGCGGCAACATTTGCCATAGGTGCTAAAATTAGTGCTGTCATTTACATTTAAAATTCGGTACTTTTAATGTATTCATTGCTGACTTTACATTAACCTGAAGATTTCTCCAAACTGTTAATTATATTTTTACTTGTTTACAAATTGTTTATTTCCTCCAAAATGGATCTCCAGTTAGAATAGTGTTCCCAAGCTTTTATACACTATTTGTTTATTGTAAATTTTTGTATTGTTTACTCATAGTTATTTCACATAATTTGAGACACACCACATTTAAATGACCACAATTCAATTGGCTTGTTATTAATTTTCTTCTACATCATAGTCACATTTTAATTATCTTAAAATTGTTGTAATCTAAATATTTTAAATATAAATACATAGAAATGTAGTAGGCCTTGTACTTCTATAATAATACAATACAACCCTGTAATTTCCAGGTTTTATTTAGATTTTTGTGTTTTTTTTTTTATCACAGCATCAACTCCAAAGCCAAAGAAAATGGGTAAGCAAAAAGCCTATTTTATTATCCACAATTTTATGTTGTGAGATAATTTTTTAATTCAAATGTTTCGTCTTTCATAAACATACTTCATTTTGAAATCCAGCAATTTCGATGTTAAAATTTTGTGGCGTAGGGCTAGAACCACACCGTAAGTTTGTTTTCAAACAACAGTAAATCTATACAACAATGTAACGATTATCCATTGACATGTGATGTAGCCTGTTCATATTTATAATTTTTTGATAGGCAATAATAAATATAGTGAATGCAGTTAGGAACGTTCCAACCTTGAATATTTTTTTTTTAGTGAAATAGGACAGTGCTTCATGTCATACAACAGTGATTGAACATGTTAAAACACAAACTTGACTCAATCTTAAAATACACAAATCAGAAGTCTACAAGTGAGATACTTATAGGCGAGACTTTTTTTTTTTTTTTTATACCTTAGCAAACCCACCGCCCGCCAATAATGATGATTTCACATAAAAATACATTTTTATTTTTGGCCAATTAGCATACCACCGCCACGAAAAAAAATGGAAATTAAAAAAAAAAGATGTTTTTCTTCATTTTTATTACTCCAATTATTATTACTTACTTATTAATCTAAGTCTTGCCTTACCTGGATTAACCTATTAAATCTCTATTGTTTCATTAAAAACACCCCTACGTCAAAAACAGAAGCGACTGATTGTTCCAGCAAGTGACTCTACCCATGTCCAAGCATGGTCAAAGTCATGAAGATGATGCTTTTTCGTTGGTGCAGACACATGATGGGGCAATAAGTTGATACTATTTTGGTGTAGGAGTGTTCTTAAAGGAACAATGGCAATTAGTTGATTTATCTAGCTAAATATTTACGAAATAGACTAATATATTACAGTAATATATGGGAATAATTTCACTCCTTTATAAACTTATTTTAAATGAAGAAGGGCATAAACTTGCATATTAATTTTTAACAAATCAAGTGATTGATTTTCGTGTTATTATGATTTGTTTTACAGCTGGACCAGCCCCAAAAAGGAAAAGTGCAAGGAATGGTAAGGAAACAATAATTACTGTTTTGATAACTTAAATTACATTATCGTTCTTGTTTTGGTGTAAATCTATTTATTTCTTATATTAAAAAAGTAAATATTAAAAGTTAATTGTTACAATATTTATCACCAGTAGTAGAAAGATTTTAAATACAAATTCTATAATTTACGTAGACCTCTTTCCCTTTCAATGCTGTATGTAAAATCAAATTTCCACTTAGTAAATTAAGGATTTACAAACATCTAAACTAACATTGCATGAACTATTGATTTACAGGCGCAGCCTCAGCGGCTAAGAAAGGTAAGTAACTAAAATTAAATCATTTTACACTTTGAATTTGACATTATTAAATAATAATAAAAGGATCTTGTCAAGTACTAATTGTTGCATTATCAGAACTAGTCAATTTGCTGATCAATTTTACTGCATCATTATACAGGTATAATACCGTAATTAAGAACACATATGGTATGAAAGTGACTTTTGTCTTAGAAATTGGTGATTTTTAAATGTTAAAAAGATACCAAAAAATAAGATAAAAAAGTCAATGTATGACTCTCTTTCATTGTAATTTTTTAGATAAACCTTGTTAAAAATATATTTCTGGTAATACGGTATTTATGTTAATTTTTAAATTATTTCTAATTTTGTTACAGCAAGAGCTAACCCAAAGAAAACAGGTGGGAAGAAAGGTAAGTGCAAATGCTGGCTTTTTGCTTCTTAAATGAAAATAGCCTAAATAATAAAGAAAAAAACAATATTTATATATTTATTTCAACAATATTTTGTGAGAGTGGTCCATCCAGCCAGAGCTGATCAATTGGGATCCTCAGTACATACAATTAAAGGCAAAAGAATAAAAATTAAAACAGATGTTAAACATAAACAAATTAACTATACTGAAACAGAAAAATGAAAAAAAAATCGAAATATATTTAAATTGAAGGAAACCATTAGAAATAATAATTAACATTTAATGGGAAAAAAAAATAAAGTTGACACATTAAACAGAAAAATATTTGAAATTAATCAAGAGAACTAAAGATAAAATAAATAATTAAAGCTAACAAATAATATCTTGAAATAAACAGGTTTAAAAAACATAATCAATTTTCTTATACAAAATTAATCACATTTGGTTTGTGAGCATTAATATGCAACTCCTTTGTAAAGCGTAACATAGTATTTACAACCAGCCTTTGAAAATATAATTTCTAGTGACTGTTATGTTAAATTTTGCAATTTTTCTGTTTCCATAGCAACCGCAAACACAAACAAAACAGATGAGAAGAAAGGTAAGAATAAATGCTAAATTATTTTGATCTCTTTCATGATGATTGAAAACAGCCTAACTTTAAAGACCCAATTACTCAATACGTTTTGCTGATAATCTATATATTTGAACATTAGATCCACTTATTTTATATTCATTTTTCAATTATTCAATCCAAAACATTTATACCAAACAGTATCTTTGCTTTTTCATTTGCAGTTAGTTTTGCACTGAAGAAATAAGTGACATTTCATTGAATACTTTTATGTTGATTTTACTATTTCAGAATTACTAGAGGCTCAGGCGGAGAGAAGAAACTGGCTTCAGCTTTTTAGAGAGCATCAAGATTCTCAACAAGTCTTAACAACTCCATTGCCCATCTCACCTATTGCACCAAACTCTCTCGATAGACCTACACATGTTGCTAGACGCAGACTAGCACACACTACCTCACCCCGCCGACTCTTTCCTACTGCATCAGATGTCTCCTCTTCAAGTGTGTCAGGAAGGCCACAAACATCATCAGCCAGTAAACCTGCACCAGAGGCATGTGTAGTCAGCCAACCAGCATCTGCAGTTTGTCAAAGAGCAAGTGCAGCCAGCAAACCAGCACCTGCAGCTAGTAAACCTGCACCAGTAACTCGCCAGCCAGCTTCTGCAGTCCATCAACAAGCATGTACAGCCAGCAAACCAGTACCTGCACCAGTAGCCTGTCAACCAGTACCCGTAGCCCACCAACCAGCACCTGCACCAATAGCCCATCGACCAGCACCCGTAGCTCAAAGAGCAACTGCATCCAGTAAACCAGCACCTGCAGCCAGTAAACCTGCACCAGTGTCCCGTCAACCACCTCCTGTAGCCCGCCAGTCAGCATCAGCAGCCAGCAAACCGACATCTGCACCAGTAGCACCTTTACCTGTACATATAGCCCGCCAACTAGCATCTGTAATCAGTCAACTAGCACGTACAGCTAGCAAACCAGCACCTGCACCATTAGCTCGTCAACCAGTATCTGCAGTCCGTCAACAACCAGCACCTGTAACCCACCAGCCCGCAGTCAGTAAACAATCATGTGCAGTCAGTGAAACTGCGGCAGTAGCTGGTCAACCTGCAACTGCAGCAATAGCCGGTCAACCAGCAACCGCAGCCCACCAACCAGTATCTGTAGCTCGCCATTCAGCATCTGCAGTCAATAAACAATCATATGCAGCCAGTAAAACTGCAGCAGTAGCCGGTCAACCAGCAACTGCAGCCTACCAACCGGTATTTGTAGCCTGTAAGTCAGCATCTGCAGCCTGTCTACCAGTCACTACAACCAGTAAACCAGTACTTGTATCACACCTTCCTTCAGCACATGTAACTGGTCAACCAACACCTGCACCATACTTTCCACCAGCAGAGGTAACCAGTCAACCAGGATCTGCACCATACTTTCCCCCAGCAGGTGTAGCCAGTCAACAAGGATCTGCGCCATATTTTCCCCCAGCAGGTTTAGCCAGTCAACCAGGATCTGCGCCATACTTTCTCCCAGCAGGTGTAGCCAGTCAACCAGGATCTGCGCCATACTTTCCCCCAGCAGGTTTAGCCAGTCAACCAGGATCTGCGCCATACTTTCCCTCAGCAGGTGCAGCCAGTCAACCGGGATCTGCACCATACTTTCCACCAGCAGGTGCAGCCAGTCAACCAGGATCATTACCACTCTTTCCACCAGCACAGATGACACCTACAGGAGTATCCATACTTACTTGCATCCGAAGAGAATTACGAGAAGTGGCCTCCAAGTTAGAGACATTTGCAAGCATGGTAATAATAAATAATTTATTAATTTATATTGCGCCAATTCCATTATAATATATTCAAATGCGCATCACAATAAAATACACTAGAATGCAAAAATTGTTTAAATAAATTTTTATGCACGGAATAAGCTTAAAAAATAGTACAGTAAAAACAAATAATAAATAAATGACTCAATTATATATATTTATTGTTTAAGGTTGGAATGTTACAACAAGAAGTAAGAATGCTGGCTGGGACTCACAGCGTGAACACTCAATCATGTGAGGAATTTGGCATGTTGTTATAGTTGTTTAGTATTTATGTCATTAGTTTAGTATTTTACCGAATTATTTTTTTATTTTAATTTTTACTTTCAAAGAGTAAACATAAGCCTATTGTTTTTTTTTTATTATTTCAGGTCATGAAGACTTAAGAGCGGTGAGATTTCACTTCTGTTTACCTTACATATTTAATAAAATTGTTTCTACCAAACCGCACCTGAGGGGGCCAGCATAGACTACTGGCAAAAGCATAAAGTGTAACCAACAGATCATTTAAGTTGATAAATTGCTAATTTATACCAAAATTTAAATACAGTTAAACTTGCCTAAGTCGACTGTGCCTAAGTCAAATAATTTCTAAGTCGATCTTATTTTTTACATGCCAAATTGTTGTGTTTTCCATTAATTACCAATCTGTAAGTCGAACAATATTTCAATAGCAATTTGGATTTGACTTAGACAAATTAAACTGTACAATATTATATTTTAGGTATTTCTTTCGTAAAACATTTTAGAGAGAATAGAAACCCTTGATACCAAAGCTTGATTTTAAGAATTCCAGATTTTATGATAGCAAACCCTATGACTTTAGAACAAGTCTCCTTATTTTTCAGATTTGATATTAATTGACCAAATCTACAAGTACATAATTTTACATGTTTTTCTTTACAAACAAAATTTAACAAATGCTCGATTTTACAAATACGGTACTTGAATTTATGACATACTGTACATTTTCTGTTATTGTCAACCAACAGATTATATTTGTGAAATAAGTATAACAGCGCATTAATTTAACAGTGTTTAGTCTAATGTTATGCCAATAACGTAACAAAGTTTCCCTAAATATCATTAAAAATTTTTTTTTATTAGAATGAGAATATTTTGTTTCTTAACAACATATCTACTCACAAGCAATTACCCTATCGATGAACATGACCTGATGACATTTTATCAGGCCATTTTCACTGACCAACCATGTCATGGTCATGTTTTGTGATGGTGATTCAATGTATTAAAATATATTGTTATATTTAAATAGGGTATCATTTAAATTCTTGCAGGTTTTACCACCAAGCATCCGGGCTGTGTGTGAAGGCACAACACCGTACAACTGCATTAGAACCCTGAAAAACTTCATGTTTCCAAATGAAGAACTTTCACAAGGAACAGCGATGCAAAATTCCAGAGCATGCATGAAACTAGACAATGCCCAAAAAGTTAGATCAATAGTCAGTAAGTGAATACAATTTTATATCATACATATCAATAAATGAAAGTGCTGACAAATCTTGTTAATTACACAATATAGTATTTATTAACTATTGTATAATATTTAACTCGATAATACATGGTAGAAAATAAGAGAGTACAGTACATAAATTGGCTGTAAACTCGAAGCACCAATTACAGGTACCTCTCTAATTAAAGACCCGCCAAATTAAAGATCACCTTCACTTTCTGTGGTTACAAATTAACAAATGTCTTCTATCTTTGTTATTCTAGAGACCTAAGCTGCAAAATAAAGACCAGTGGCGGCTCTAGGGTATATTTTCTGGGGGGGGGGGGACTTGAGCTTGTAGGCCCAAGCTGGTGGAAGGGTTTTTGAGGGTGTACCCCTCCCACATGAGATTTTTTTTATAGGTGAGGAACACCTGGATGGCCAGAAATTACATTCTCAGACTGTGACAGGCATGTGTTGGCTTGGTGTAGGCCTATTTTTATATATATTTTTAGTCCAACTACCCAACGAGCTCTGTCCAATGGGAGGGGGACAGCCCCTGCTGTCCCCACGCTGACGCCGCCACTGCTAAAGACCATGAAAACACTGGTCCCAAAGGTGGTCTTTAACAAACAAACACAATGTAAATTTGGTACTCGAAAGCTTTATCTATCTTTAAATTTTTTTAAAAAGCAAATTAACTATATATTTATTTATTATTTATTTATTATATATTCGGCATATTGTACAGAGTGATAAGTTGCGGATTGTAGTGTACAATTGGTGTATATAGAATACACCAACTGTACAAAGAAATAGGTTTCTTTAACCTAACATTTTGTGTTTCAGGCACATTCTTCAGTCTCCACTTTTCAATTAGTTTCATGGTGTATTTTTCTCTATTTACAGATTATGTTAAGCAGATTTACCCTGGAATGACTGACTCTGAAATCGGCCACTTCCTGGGAAAAAAGTAGAGAAGAAATTGAGCGAAAACTAAAAAATATTCCTGCTCGCATCAAAGCGCCACTTCAACCACAAATACTATTTCCGGCTTACTTCCAAAGATAACTTTACAATGCTTGTTTCAAAGTATACAGTAATTGCTTCTGCAATAAATAGAAAAAATGTTATAATATGGTTACTATTGTGAAAGCTAAGATTACTCCATTTATGAACTTTACCAATGGGTTGTACGGGATTTTTAGCATAATCAAATTACTTTTATATAAATACAGTATTTCTTAAATATAGATGGGTTTTATAACGTTCACTAGATGGACTGTTTGGTTTCAATATATCTTTTTGTACATATTTGTTATGTTAACGTAAACTGGACTGGTGTGTTTTTTGCAATAATATATTTATCATGAATAAAATAATTTTTACATAATACAGAAACTGTATACTGTATTTTTTTTATTTCAACTTCAATATTTCTGCTGCCATATTATGCACCTAATAAACTATGCACACACTGCATGTCTGCACTGGTAGCCGGTGCATATCTATGAGACTATTGATGTGGCAATGCGTCACACGACAAATCAAACTAGCAGTGAGGTTGTCAATAACGATCCCCTCTGACCCTAACAAGCAGTCGGCAGACAGCTTTGTTAAGCGCTCATAAACAGTAAACAGAATTGTCTGCCAGCCTGCCAGGTCTGCCTAAATTATCACAAATATTATCACAATAGTACTTACCGACTAAACATCCTTTGTACGATACGCTTGCTAATACTCGGTGATAAAAGCGTGCAAGGCCCAGTCTTCTTCAACACAACTAGTGTATGCATTACTTTCATCATTTTCTTTATGGACAAATGCCCATATGCTTTTTACTCCATTTCTGGAGTTATGTACTTTGCCGACCAAAGTTTTTAATGTGTCCAATTCGACATTTCAAATTTGTCCACTTAGCAGAGTACAGCAAATGGGATAACTTCCAACTGGACTGCTCGATTCATCACAACTGGGTGGAGCTGCACTGGGGTTGCAGCATGTCACCGGGGGTTCAGACCAAATTTTCAGGTTATTAATCTAGGACCTATAATAAGTTACTTAAATCTAGTTAAAACGCTTACAACAACCAATATCAATAACAACATTTAGAGAAAAATATAGTAGAAAAAAAAACTATTTAAAAACTGGAACAGGACTGTGGCACTTAAAATCAGGCTCATGAGAAAAAAAAATGTTTGATATGTTGTAAAACTTATTTTTCTAAGACAAAAAAACCATGTTTGATGAAAAACTCTGGCACAGTTAATGAGAAACAGATTTTTAAATTTAAAAAATGGGGAAAACATGGAAAAAAATGGTGGTTACGCCCCTTTTTCCTCCAGTTTTTAAATATTCAAAAATCTGAATCTCATTCACCATTTTCATTTTTTTCGTCAAATATGCTTTTACGTCTTAGGAAAATCAGTTGTACACCATATTGCAAAATTGTTTTTCCTTCGGAGCCTCGACCAGCGATATTGGAAGTAACATTGCTACCTCAATGTAGGATAAATATTAAAAACCCCACAAAATATGCTGAGAATATATTAGTGTTCACCTACCTCATCCTTATGAAAGTTTATATGCTTGTTGTCTTTAACCCACTGCCTTCTATTATTGCCGCCTGTAGTAATTGATAGAACATACTGTGTAAGACCATAGTTTAATTAAGCATGGTGAGAAAAAAAGGAAGTAAAAACACTCAACGAAGCCAAATTTTAAATAGAAAGTATCTGCAATGTTTACAAACTGAAGAACTACTGAGAGATGTTCAGGAAATCGAAAATGATTTTTTTTTATATAAGCATAGATTGTGTCAAGACATACTAAGGGCAAATAGAAAAATTTACTCCCGGCTGCGTCAAAAATTCAGGAAATAATGATGCAGGAATAAAATTAAAAATCTGTTTGCCGCATCAATTATTTCAACAGCATAAAAAGAACTATGCAATTTTGTGACTTTAAATACCATAAATTTTCTTTTAAAAACTATAAAATTAAACCAGTTTTTATAAAATATTTAGTATTACAGGCCAAATATTAACAGTCTCTCCCTCACCGATAAAAACAAAAGCGAAATAATCTATTGTTCTGATAAAAAAAAAAGGGAAAAAAAAGACCGCCCATCCTCATCAATTTTTTTTTTAAAAAGACTGGTAATCTAATAATTTTATCTATGTGCCCTAAAACATGTCCTGATATAGGCCTATGCTATAATTATTGATTGATCCGATTTAAAAATAAATGCAAGTTTTTAGGCAACTTACTTTAAGAAGGAGTTAGTCAATGGGCGTTTGATAAGAGGGTTAGTTTGTTGTAGGGGAGACTGTGTATAGTCAGGAGAGAGTTTGTTGGGGGTGGGGTGGTGGCTTTGCAGCAGACCGTCAAGAAGAGATGCAAGTTATAATTTTATATGCTCTGCACACCCCAAGCCAAAACTCTAGTCAAATGAGAACATTTTAGTGTGCTTTTTCTCCATTGTACTTAGCAATTTTTGGCCAAAAACTTCTCACCAACTTACGATGACCCAGACCAAAGTAGCCTAGCCCCTGAGTTACCTAGCCTGTCCCAGGTCTTTAGGCCCTAATTACACTTTTTAGGCGAGGGTTCGCGGACCTTGTTGGTTGGTGCATATGCATGAGCAAGCAGAAGAGTACAGTACATACAGAGTCGTTTACCAAGCCTAGATAAAGCAAACGTAAACAAAGATGCATAACGATCCATTCACATAAAAACTCACGTTCCATATTGCCAACTATGCTCTAGTGAACTGTTGCAAGTGTTTATTAACATTCATATTATGATAGAAAATCATGATAAATTATATTCCACTAAGTGTTGTACGTAACCATACCGAACTAACAACAACCTCCATTGACCCCAGTTTAGTGTTATTTTTCAGGTTGAGGGCGCTATTTTAGGGGGGGGGGGGAGAGCTGCCCCCCCCCCCCCTTGTGCGTCCCGTTGGGAAGAAAAACCACAATTTGTTGGAGAGAAAAAAAATGTATATGTATTATCTACATGTTAGTACAGGTAGACACTAAAATTGATTAAATAAGCCTTTGAAATCAACATCCGACCACGCCCACTTTTTTTCGTCGGGAGCATCGCACCCCTCCCTCCACCTGGTGCCACCTTTAGTAGGTAGGTCCGGCTTTTTTTTAGAGCTTTCTTACCCACAAATAAATTACAAAATAACAACATAAATTTATATTAAGCTGCAGGGTTCCCTGGCTGTATATAAAGGTCTGCGCGGGAATATATTCTCTACTCAAAAATTTAGCTCAGAAATCTGTCTGCATTTTGGAAAATAAGGGCCGATTTCTGTGCAGATTTTGCTGAAAATTAAGCTTGACCTATCTTAATATATATTCAATGTATTGTGTAGTAATTATGATTCTGTGCACAAGTTGTCCTAGCGATTTTCCCTGCAAATTTGAGCTGGTTTTTACGGTATCATTCGTGCAGTTAAAAAACTTTACAGTATGGCAGGGTGAAACTTATCATGATTGTTACCCTGTCACTTCATTTAAAGCAAACTATTATTATTATAAATTTGTGGGAAGTTAACTGTAGTTCATTTGCTTGCTGAGAAGGCTCTGATTTCCAGGATATTATCTAGGCCTACCATTGATAACGCCATCCTACTAATTAATAAATGCTGTATTTGTATTATGTAAACCAAAGCATATCATTTAATATCTGTCATTTATAGTTTACTGTCTTCTTCCATTTAGATGTTCAATATATTAAATTGATTTTTAAAATTTTTTTCTACCACAGGTTGACACTTTGTGTATAAAGTGAAAGAAGAAATGTCTCTTCGATTGAAGAAAATTGCCACATCACCTTCCTTCAGATGTTTTGTGTTGTCTAAAAACACTTCAGTATTTACAGCGTTGACAAATCGCTCACTATTATTTATATGGAGAAGCAATGCTTTTAAATGTACACAGGTCAGTCGTTTGTATGTGAATTACACTCGATTGTTTACAAGAGGTTTTGCTATTGATGCTAAATTTGAGTGTGCCACTGGTGATGTTGACAGGCCAAGTGATAAAGGAAAGGATGAATGGGATGTGGAGAAACTACCCGAAGAGGACAGATTTGGCACACTTAGTTCTGATGGATATGAGGTACCTGCTTTCATAACTGATAGTATCATTATGTGAAAAAAACTTTCATAGAATGAAACAATATATTTATTAAAGAAAGGCCAGATCTTAAGACTTAAGTATAATGGATGTTTCCACTAAGCCCCGCCCCCTGGATATCGTTGCTAAGTTCCCACAAGATAACATGCGCATATTCCTGGCCCTTTTCTGATTGGTCAGTTGTTAAGTTTGATTGACACTCCGGAAGGTCTATTATGTATACTGCTGTACAATCATCATCTCAATCAATATCATCATCCTCAAAGTTATCATTCTCAACATCATCATCAACAACAGCATCATCATTGTCACCATCACTGCCACCTTCATCACTAATTGTCATCATTTATAAAAGATAAAATGTATAGGTCGATTACACCCTAATATTCATAAAATGGAGTGAATTCTTCATTAAAATATGAATACGGGCCACATAAACTATTCCGACCGACTACTGTAGTCAGTAATAGTTTCCACCACTACCATTTTTTAAAAAGTAACATAATGGGTGCTATATTTCGTTGTTTTTGCATAGAGGGTGCTATATACAAATTTTTTTTTTGTCTCCCACATCATATGCCAACAAAGTTGGCAGGTATATCATCATCATAATCATCATCATCATCATTATCCATCATCATTATCATAATCATCACTGTTGTCAAATCACAGTGAAATTTGGAAATCAGGCTTGGGTATCACACAGTTTTTTTGGCTTCATTATCATCATTACCACCATCCACCATTATTACATCACCTATCACACCAAGGTATTGTAGTAAATTAATGAAAAGCTATTTACTGTATTTCTTAAATTTATTTTTTAACATTGTTAAGCTTAAAACATTTGACGAAGTCTATGAAGTAACAAAAGAGGATAAGAAGGAAGCCGGTGATGTGGAACATGTTCATAGAGGCCGCAAAAACAGCCCGATATGGTACGCAAACCAAATGAAAACACTCCTGAAAGAAGGAAAGGTTAGACTTATGTAGCCTGTTTATGTATGCAGTTTAGTGCCTTGAGAGTAGCTTAGCTTAGTTGGCTAAACTGGTGTTTGTGGTGTGCGCACTGCCCCATGGAGGTTCTTACAAATCTGGTTCAATTCCATTCGCTGTTCTGCTTGTACTTCAGCTGGTGGGCGGCGATGCAATTTACGATAGTGAACCATCTTTTGGATGAGATGTTGAAGCCAGTGGTCCCTTATGCAATATTGTATGGCCAATGTGTACATTAGAAAAAGCTGTAGGGATTAGGGGATTGTCTGCTGATGTACTGCCTAAATCACCACCAGAATTACCCCACTGTAAGCAAGTCTTTAGTGAGTTGTCTTTGTTGTGTAATCAAATATACCCTATCCTATGCTGCCCACTTCTAGACTTTTAGTGTAACTTTTGGAAATCTGGTGTGGAAATGGAAAGTAGTAGGGTTATGAGCCACTTTTGGACTCTAAAACTGTAAATTTCTTTACCCTCAGCTAAGGGAAGCTTTAGATGTTCTGGAAGTGAGAATGCTGAAGGAGGACCGTGTTCAACCAACAGAGTATAACTACGATATACTAATCGGTGGTTGTGGACGGGCTGGCTACACCAAGAAAGCCTTCCACTTGTACAATGACGTAAGTTTTCATAATATATTATAGAGGGCACTATAATCTTGTTCGAATAGATCAGGTTCAACTGAAATTTTCAATAGTTACTAGCAATACAAATATTCAATGTAAGTACAGGTCTGCCAAAGGTTCATATTTGATTAAACATAATGTATAATGAGTTTTGAATAACTAATGTTTATTTGCTTTCACACAGAAGGTCTTGAAGATACTAGGTGGGGTAATAATATTGTATTTTTTATTCGAATTTTTTCTTTATGATCCATGAAATGCTTACCTCAAAGATATAGCATAAACCACTTCACAGTTCATCAAAGATGCAACCTGGGGTATCTAATCATGGCCGCCCGAGAAAGGCCAGAGTGTGGTTCAAAGCTCCAAAACTCTAAGTTAAGATCTAGGACAGAAATGGAAATAAAGTTCAATTCAGGATGTGGTATGTGAGTGTATATTTGTTCCATTGGATTTGGTTTGTTTGTATATGTTTGTGAATTTTTCTAATTCATTTCAAAAAATTTCATTCTACCAGATGAAAAAACGTGGTCTAAATCCAAGTGCGGTCACATACACAGCATTATTCAACGCCTGCTCTGAATCGCCATGGCCTGAAACTGACGGTATCACACGCTTGAAAAAACTTCACGGGCAACTCCTTGAGAAAGAAATCAGGATTAACCTGATAACGCACCATGCCATGATGAAAGCCTATGCCAAATGCGGTGACATTCAGATGGCGTTTAAACTCTTCCATCATCTACTGGAGTCTGGTGTTGAACTCACTGCACATAGCTTTGTGTTCCTCTTCTTTGCATGTGCTTCTCAGAAAGATTCTGGGTTTGTTCTTGCTATTGAGGTATGTCTGGGTTTTGTTTCTAATAGATTGACGTAAGCGAAGTATTTCCATAACATGGGACACAACAACAGTACCACAAGGAAGGCGGCGGGAGGGGGCAGGCAGGGAAAGTGATATAGAGGCTGGGCCACTAGGGTGAAAAAATGCTGTCTATTTTGGTTGAATTATCATTTAAATTCATCTACACCCTGAAACATCAGAGCCCAATTTATGCCCTCAACTTGCACCCCAGGCTGATGAGAAATGTAACCAACTACTTTATAATCATTTAAATTAGATAGCCAAAAAACTAAAAGCTCTGTATGGGCAAATTTTTAGCAACCAATGACCTTAGTATTGAAAGCATATTGTTAACTGGGTCTACCAACCTGAAGAGTCTACTCGTGAATGAAATGTATTAGATTAAATTCATATTTGTCTATCTTAAAGGGATGGCGACATATGTTATTGAAGGGTATTAAGCCCAACAACATTATCTACAACTTGCTACTAAGAATTGTGAGGGATTGTGGAATAGGGGATCTTGAGAAAGCCAATCAGGTTCTTCTGAACAGTCCCACTCTGAAGCAGAAGATGATAGCTGGTGGCTCATCAATGAAGCAGCAAACAAAAAGGAATAAATCCAAGAAGCCAGAGCAATTAGAGGTCACAAGGCTTGCTGATGAAAGAACTATTAATGTTTTTGAAGATTTAAATTTACTTGCACAGGAAACGTCTGTGAAAGATGGTAGGGTGCCAACACACTCTGACAACAGGAAAAGAGATCCTGATAGTTGGGAAAGAGGCCTTGAAAATCAGGATTTATTTCTGTTAAATTCATCAGAGAAATCAGTGGTTTCACAAACTGGTACTGGTTCCTCGAATGACTTGGCATCAGTGAGTACTAAGAAAACCGATACCCATCCTAAAATGTTGTCGTTGAATCCAAACTTGGAAGGAATCATGTCGTTGACTGCCATGGAGACACCAGCAGAACGATTGTCTTTGCTTGGTGGAACAAGAGGTATTTTAGAGAGCATGACATCAAATGATCTCAAACCAGATTGCAGGACTTTGACTCTTCTTGCAGAGATCATTCCAAAGAAGACATCAGCTGAAACTGAACTTCTGAAAGTTGTTGATGACTTGGATGTAAAGGTTGATGTAGATTTCTACAATATGCTAATTAGAAAGAGAACAAAGAGGAACTATCTTACAGGAGCCAAGGTTTGAATTTATAAAACCTTTTTTTTCCTTTACCTCTGCCTCTGCCATTTTTTTTACCACTGCCTCTGCCATTACAGATTTCCACAATGGGCCTTTCCAGTGTGTCACATGTATACATTTGTGTTAATGCTTTTACACTGTCGTTTTGTGGGATGTTAGCAACAATATTCATGGGGCGGCGGGCGTTAGTGGAAAGATCCATTATTTAATTTAATCCATCCGTAGGTATCGCTGCATGCAGATAATTACAATATATGTTCTGAAACTTGTAACCCAGACCTCCCAAATTGTGGACCCCAGTATAAAACAAATACTAACTTTTTTTTTTGCTTTTCTAGGCTCTTCTTGCTGATATAAAGCGCAAAGGGCTATATCCAAGCATGCGGACATTTGTCGCTTTAGCTTCAGGCTGTACACAGCAGAAGGATGGCCTCCAGTTACTAGCAGATGTAAAGGTAAGCCTAATAATGTCAGTGATGGATTAGAATGCTCAATGCCTATTTATATACTGCAATTGTACAGTACTGTATTAAGTGCCATTAATACTCAATTCACACAAGGAATAATGCATGCTAGGTAAAATTTAGGAGCTATCCCCTATTGCACCACAGTTGTGCGAGTTTCTATTATGCGTCCAGGGTAATATCTATGTACGGCAAACACACATCGCAGGGGCCTGTGATCAAAAACGATTATTCGTAGAGTACCATTCGTGTCGTCATGCCAGGTGGCGCTCTCTGTTGTCAACAGACGTTGGTTACCATTCATTACGCCTTAATGACTTCATAGGCTTTCTGGAATATGCATTTTGAAATCTAATATTTTACCATCAAAATGTACTAAAAACACAAAAGCTCGCATTATATTAGTTATCGAACACACATTTAATCATCAATTAAAGTTTACAAAGAAAAAGTAAGATACATCTTAATAATTACGTTAGAAGTTGGGATTAATGGTTTGTTAGTGGCGAAAATGGCATCAGTTTGAACGCATTTTGCAACGTAGTAGTATCACGTAGTATCGTGACGTAACACTGTAGTACTCTATAAGTCTCAAAACAAGATTTTATATGTACATATGACCTATTACTCAAAGATGGTTGCATTGGTGTTGAGTTTTTTGTTTTAACAGGATTCTGGTATAACTCCAACCCAGCCTTTGTACAATGCTCTGATTTCAGCAGCACACTCACAGAGAAACTATGAATATGTTACTGATATACTGAAGGACATGGAGAGGACTAAAGTCTGGCCAAACCAACGGACAATCACTCAACTTGAGAAGGTAGCCGAGTTTCAAGCCAAGCACCATAGAGTAAGTGTTGCAATTATTTCATTGTAGCATATTCATTATTATTTCAAATGCATTAAGTTTAAACTTGCTAAAGCATCATGTTAATTTAGTGGGAGCAATTTGTGCTGTCGTTCTAGATAGAGGTTTCAATCGTATGCTGTATCTTTAGAGTATGTCCATACTAAAGGTTTGATTGACAAATACATGTGATTTTTCCCCTATATGGGTTTATGAAATAATTATGCCCATACAGTGTATGTGAGGTTGCACCACAAAATGAGTCTCATGGTTGGAAAATCAAAAATTTAGTTTAAAAAATATTATTTGTAGGTAGATCACATTATAAGCTTTAATTTGGTTTTTTAATGGCTTCCCTAGGATAAGTAGATCCAGCGATGTGAACATTTAAATTTTAGTTGTATGAGAACCAGGTTTTGAGAAAATCAGCTCCAAAGATAAACTAATTTTGTAAAAAATTTGACTTTTACCTATTTTGGTGACCAACGATGCCTCTCATTTTGTGGCGAGACCTTACATATGGCCCTATTCACACATTTGGCTATTTCACCTTGGAAATTAAAATTTAGGGCCTAGCGTCTCCTCTGATTTTGCTATCAATACTGCAGTCTTGCTGCTTGTAACCACTCCTATAATTTGATCATCCTTTTGTGGAAGGATGTGGTGAATTGCATTATGGGACATTAAGATCAACAGCTGAACACTCAACCATTCATGTGTGGCCTTTACAATATACACATAACTCTAATTTCCTGATTATATAAGTTGGTTGTTAGTGGAATATCCGTCTCTCATCCACAAAATTATTTTGTTATGCATTTTACAGTGTAGTTGCTACCAAACCTAATCTCTTCATATATGTTACTTTGAAGCAGCTTCTTTCTTGTTGGTAGTCTGATTTGAATCAGTCAAATGGGCCAGGGATTGCCTTGCCATGTGAACAGTTTAGTAACTCTAGACTTATATTGGAAGCAACACATCCCCATCTGTTTTTTTTATGGGCTTGAAATGGTTCATGAGGGTTTTATATTGACTTTTGGCCCATGAAATTTAAGACTGTTTCTAATCTATGCTGATTGAAAAAGGGAAACATCTGTGTTTGTACACATGCCCAATTCTAAGAACAAGATAATGATGGTAATTTGTCTTAGTCGAGGACAAAAGCAAAGATAAGCATTCATAGATTTTACAACTTGATTGTCTGCCCTGTATGTACATACTGGAGCCTTGTTTACATCAATCATGTGACCCGGAAATGTTTATCGGGCAATTATATAATCTTTGATATTGATTAATTTTTTTCAGGTGAATCCAAAGTTGAATGGCTTTCGTGGATTCTACACAACCTGGTTGAATAGGATTGGTTATCAAGGTGAAAAACATCCATGGAACTCATATTATTCTAAACCAATTAAATATGATGAATGACAGGGCAACATTGCATACGGCATTAGTCAACGATGGCTCTGACAGTGTTAAATACACCTTGGTTGGGATTTATCAAATTTATAAATAAAAAGGTTACAGTTGACCTTGGCGAACTTTTTATCATACCATCATTTTATCATCACAAATTTAAAGAGCAACAAAAAAGAACTTGTGCAGTTTCTAAAATGGTCGTCCAATGAGTATGTATCTCAACATTTTTTTCAAGGTGTAGTGTGTAAGAGAACATCATTGCTGGCAATTAACTTTATAATTGAAGAAGCATTATCTTTGAGGTATTGCGTTCAATACAGTATAGCACAAAAGACCATGAGTATTACTTGCTGGCCATAACATTTTAAAATAAATAAAAAAAACAATTTCTTTAAAGTAATCTTGGCATTGAATATAGTATACTGCAATACTATAGAGTCAAACTTCCAATTTACAATCTCTGCAGAGATTTAGCCACCCAATGGTTTAAATGTAGGTATTTTATATAAATCTGGCCCCTGACACAATATAGGCAATAAGATATAAAATGAACAAATGTTAGCTTCTCTTTCTGTACAAGTTTATTTGGACACTGATAGCAACAAACACACGGATCTACTACAAGAAAATACCACAGTAAAATACAAGAGAGTACACAACAAATCTCAAACCAAACTAGTGGGACGTTTTTAACAAATCTAGAAAGCCTAAATCACAAAGAAGAATTATAAAAGAATTGATATACAATTTCACTTTCATACAATTAATTTCATCACAATTAAATAATAAACAATTAATATGATCCCACTAGTTTGATTTAAGAAATGTTCTTTTAGTTTTAGTCAACAGAATGTTGAACTTTTAAGTTGTGCTTGGACGATACCGTATAAGGTACCTCTATACTTGATTAGTTTTGCTCTTAAGCCCTGATTAAACTATCAAATTTTATTTAACAAAACAAGTAACAACACACCACATATAGGCACATCATGACTAAATATGGATATGGAACAATTATTTGTTAAAGAAAATCTGATAATCTTGACTTTATGATAATAGTTGCAAAAACAATCTGATACCTCAATACACACTGTCTAGAAACATCCCCTGCATCAGGAGTGTGATTCCAACCAACCACTACGAAAAACATAAACTTTGACCTTTCAAACTCACAGCTCCAGACCAACGATTGTTTTTGTATTGCCATAGCAACCGGGTCCGTTATACCACCTTTAGATTACCATGAAAACCAAATTGTTTTTTTGAAACAATATGCTTTCTACAACATTCAAAATTAATTCAGCAAAAGTTGATTGAGATGCAAGTGACGAGGACTCAGGACTCCGTCAGCCGTAATGTTAGCAAGGAGCAATTCAACAACATATGTACGCACTGTACGAAGACCGTTATAACTAACATGCAAACGTTTGAATACCCTAGTATTCCGCCGGTAGATATATTTGATGTATTAAACAGTAATGCTATTCATACTACCACACCCTTTTTCATCATTATTATTTCCTTTTTTATATTATTATATTTTAAATATTTTTCATTTTTTTTTTTATCTTGGTGCAGAAGCTTGCACTAAGCCCTCTACTGCCATGTTTTTGTCTTTTTTCCCCCAGATTTCTCCTTTGAGAATACAAATGGCGAGACATCCTCTATATACAGATTTTTTTAATCCCACAAGGTCATCACGTTATTATTACTGGCGAACCATCATTTCTTGCACCTATGTTCAGCTTAGGGGTCACCGCTAGGTCGTAGATCTAATACATTACAATTTTGAACCAAAACATTCATCAATTTTTTCCTCAGCAGCAGGTCAAAGGGTGATAAATAAAATAAATGTTTTAATAATAATAATATTTTATATTTAATAATATAAAATAATTTCAATTACAAAAAAATATTAATGTCAATAATTTAAAAAATACAATAACATTAATATTTAAAAAAGTAAATAACAGTAATAGAACCATTACAAATATGATTAGCATATTCATGCTGATTTTCTATCAAATATTGTTTTAAAAATGTCAAACAAGTACAATTAATTATTAATAAGTATACACTGGAATATAGATATTAAGTAAGCAAACTTAAACTTGAATATTCGTGTGTATATAAACATATTTCAGCTATTGTAGCTCTTCATTATAAATTTAATGATTAAGCTAATTATGACATCCAGCAAAATATTTTGAAAATAAAATACATCATTAATGAATTCTACAATAGTTTGGTTTTACTTAACACCTGTTCATAGAATCAAATTTTATTTGACAAAAACATGCCTAAATATGGCCATGATGATGACATCACATATGACCTTATATAGGCACATCATGACTATATATGGACATACAACAGTTTTTTTGTCAAATAATATTTGATAGTGTGGACCGGACATCACAGAACCTGTCTCTTATACACATCTAGATGTGTATAAGAGACAGCATATACACACACACGCTTGTGTAATAATAAAGTAATACATTAACAAACAACAATATTTCAAAGACCTGTTTTTGGTTTGAATTAATTCAATTCACTTTACTGAGTAAAAAAAAAAAATTAAAATAATGATTATATTAAACAAATTGTGATAATATTACAGCAATAATATAATAAAAGTACTAAACAAAATAAATGAATAAAAATAGGATATACCTATATATTAAAAGAAATATAATAAAACAAAAAGAGGATTTTTTTTTTAAACTTCAAGGTGGGTTTATGCCAATTTTTGCTTCTACAAAAATATATGCCCTTTCTATTGCATCTACACAGCTCTTTAAATGAGCATGAGGGATTTTTATCAATGCAGGAAAAATAAGTTGAATGGAACGAAAAACATATTTCATACAACGTAAAGTTAAGTATGACATACATTGACCTGTGTGTAAGTATAATGACCAATGTATCGAAACAGAAAAATCACACTATTTGTTCTTAGGTGAACAGTAAGTAAAGTTACAATAGGTTTTAGAATCACTGAAAAAAGAAAAAGAATCTGGAAGTAAAAAAAAAAATAAGCTAAGACCTGCAATGATATTAAATTGTGCCCAAAAAAAACTGTATATTCCCCAAACAGTTACAAAAACAACTGTTAGATAAATTGGTTCAGAAAACCTTAAAAAGAGAAAGGAAAATTTTGTACACCGATTTCATCATAATTTGCATGTATTTTATGTATCAAAGATTTCTCAATCAAAACACTCCCTCAAAAAATTCATTCACAAAATTTGCGTAAAAATTCATTGCAGTATTATTCCATTGCGGTTTGATACTATCTATACAGCCCTGCAAATTATTACAAAAATTGTATAAAAGAATCAATGTAAAAGGTCATATTTTTTGCAGAACAATACTTTTGCATTCATAATAAACTAAAAACAAACTGCTATAATATTATATTGATATTCTGAACATAGGAGATACCATTAATAGCAAGAGGGATATATCCTCATTGCATTTGGGGATTTGTGTTCATCTTTTAGCTGACCAACCCTGTTTGTTATAATGGTATCTACCAGGTTTTAGGGATGAATTGCACATGTTAACATGATAGATGGACTGTGTAGGAGTTTATATCTTGATGGAAATTAACACTTCATTGATTTAGCCTATTTATTTTGCATGTTAAGTAATTGACAAAGAATGCAATATTCTATTATAAACTGATAAGTTTCCAGGAAGAAGGAAGAAAAAAAAAACAAACCAGTATTTTAGACAGTGCTCACCTTGCCAAAACAGGACAAGTTTGTTTACAATCACATATAGTATGTTGACAAAACATCACTGAAAAATTGTGTTGATGGTATAAGGAAACAAAGGTGAAAAAGATCGCAATCTGTATCCTTATGAAGTCTTGTCAAAAGTAAAGTACTCCCACATGGAATTGCATAAAAAGAGGTTGTTGGGGGAAACCAATTTCTCATTGAAAAGTTATCAATACAGTATTTTCTAAAATGCATATTAATGTGTAGATATACAGTAAATGCAAGGGGTGGATATAATTAATGTTTTTAATTGAAGAGACCTGGCTTCTAGCCTCGGGTTGACAATACAGTAAATGTAAACACAGTCACAATCGCACTACAAAAGCTTGAGTATCGTTCAAACTCTATCAATTGCATCTTGTAGTTATGTATCTTTACTGTACAACATTTCTTCCTCAAATTCTCTCATCTTCAAAGACGGTCATGAAAATGCCAGGTAAAATATGTATCAACTAAGACCGCCGTTGTTGCTAACATGGAGATGGGCGTGGTAGATGATTGGTTACCATATGCATTCTTTGAGATTTCTCATAACAACCAATCAAAGGCATCCTTTAATATCCCTTGGCAGCTTCCATTTGCTGAAGTTCGTTCTCAAACCAGAGAAATCACTGGCTACAATAATCATTGCTGCAGACGAAATATTTCCAAGTCAATGGCAGGAAGCATTGAAAAAGGCGAGAATAGAAAGCGCCCTCTTTAGTCTCCTTGCATCAAATTGATTGATGCACTTCATCTACAAGCAAACATTTCTTATTCTCTCAAAATAGTTTTTGGAGTCGGTGAGATCTGATGGAGGTGTTTGTCTAGTCATTTTCGTAGGTAACGTGAAGATGTCGTTCTGGATGTACCATCTTCACGTGAAAGTTCTGCGGGTCTAAGTGAGGGATTAGCGGCCCCATTCATGGCCGAGTAGGGAGTTGTGAGCCGTGTTCCTTCACGACGCAGGGGGTCAGCACTGCCCGTCAGTTGGGCACTGGCTTGACCCCTATGGAGTCTTCTACTCACTGACCTTTGTGCTTCCGCTCTAGAGAGTGGTCGAGGTGAAGTTCCTGGAAAACCAAAATATAAAACAATTAATACTGTATAACAGTTCTATTAATTAATAATCAACTACTGCTATGTGAAAGCTATATATTTTTTGCTACATGATTGTCAGTCTTTCTATATCCACTATAAAGCACTTCCATCAAACACAGTTTCATTGGAAATGTAACTTCAAATACATGATATTTCGTTTCTCAAACTTTCTTTACAACTAGTTTAACACTTACTTTTCATACAAATTGTGTTTTGACTATTAATATCATTATGTAACTTTCAAAAACAGTACACCTGTATTGAACGTGTGTGCAGCATATACAACAAACACCATCAACATTGAATAAACTGGTGACAAATCAAGTCCAAAATTTATTGAAAAATTTCAGTTTTCCTGACAATACAATGCATGTTTCAACATTTTATTAAAAATAATAATCAGTGTAAATTTATTTCATCTATAAACCAAAAACCCTTTTAAAGCACTGCTTACACTTTTAAGTATTTTTTTTAGGCACAGGTATTTGTTAAATATAACTTGATAGCGTGGTCACAGCTTTATGTTAGGCCAAAAAAAAAATATTCTCATCCAAAATTATAAAAAAACAGAAGAAAAATGAGGACCCATTTGCCTTTCTTAAAGATGGGAACATTAGTGAGGACACTGCTACTAAAAAACAGGAAGTGATCTTATGTACCTATAGTATTTAAATAGCATTCTCTAACAGATGGTAGAAAAAGAAAATTTCTTTTATCTGGACCAATCAGAGTATCCTACTATTATTCAATCATTGAACAAATTTATTAACTGCTATCACCATTCAGTTTCAATGGCTTCACTTTCTGGGTAAAATATTAAATTAGCAGTACGCATCAATATATGAATGCCTATTTCAACATTTGCATACTATTTAAAACATTCTTCTCATATTTGTAATATCTAAAATTAACTTAACAACCCTAATTGGAGGCCACAAAAGTATACACATTTGTGCAACGTAAATACATCATTATTCATAAAATGTTTGCATTTAAAATCCAACTATTATTTGTATTCTATTGGCAGCACTTACAAGCGGAGACAATTGCTATAAATATGTATACAATCCATTAGTAGTTAATATGAAATATTAAAATTCATACTCGATTGCTAAATTCACCTTCTAAACATACAAGTAAAAACTGATCATTTGCAGGGTACTATGGCCTGTTCAACGAGGCATATCAGATGCACAGTATATGATGATGAGGTTCATTTAGTGAGTTGAATAGTATACATTTATGTTTCAGATGACAGAGTGGTATTATATAGCTCCTCTCATGTCACTGGTATGGTTTATGTCACTAATAGTTTATAAGCAACATTCACAAGTTCACTATATAAAAAAAAACCATTCAATTGTCAGCTGTCAGTGATAAAGCTGATGGATCAAGGTCATAAATATTCATCACAAAATTTGCATGTTCTACTGGCAAAGGAATGGCTTTCAAGGGAGTCTATACACAACTGTAGTAGAAAACTACATTTCATGTAGATGATCAGATTTAGATGCAAGATTGAAAGAAACGTCAATATTCAAATTAAACGTTTGAAATATGTTATTAATTTTATTTTTAGGAAGAACCTAGAATAAAATAAGAAAAATTCGCTGACAAATTAGGTATGTGAGCGCACACAATAATGATGGCTTGCTGCTGATATTTAGCTCTGTATAATCAATACAAGAAATCAAATTATATATTTCAGAAGTGTAATTATATTAGTAGTAATTCTGTGCTAATGATTGATATACAGAAAATTCATCTCTTTTTAATAGTAGAACTTATGCTTCTATATCAAATAAATAATAAAAAACAATTAACACTATCCTTATAGAATTCAATTGGTTTAAAATTAATAAATATGAATTCATATTAAATAATGCAAAATACATGTATTTAAAAAATAACATAAAATTATCCTGAAATAATTGCAGGCAATTTTGATGTACGTCATTAATAATTTTACAGATTATGCATAATATAAGCATATATAAATATTATAAGCTACAATTCCTGATGATTCAGCTAATCATTAAGGCCTTCAATTTTGAATATTTCTGTTTGATTCTTCCTAGCATCTGTTTGCCTCTGGCTTGCCTACTACTTGAGCAGCTAAACGATAGTAAGGCCTAGAAATGGTGTAATTCTGGCTGATCACACGAGCCTAGTACTGGTCTATCTTGGCCTACCCAACGGGCCTACATTTTTGGGCCTAGAATGGGTCTATACCGAGTGTTCTTTGTTGGCCTGGACTGAGTCTATCCTGGCTGAGCTCAATGGGCCTAGAACTTGTCAATCCTGGCTGATCTTTTTGGGGCTAACTTTCTACCTTTAGCTTCTAAACCACTGCCATGACTTTTGCTGGCTCTTGTTGCAGTATGTGTAGTGTTATAAGCTACAAAAGAAAATTCACACCAATTAAATACCAACCAAAACAAAATCTAATTAAAGCTAATAGTGAATTTCATTTTCTGTTTTGTTGTAAGACTATATTTTGTAGGACTAAATAAACCACATTTTGATTTGTGATTAAAAAAATGTAAAATATAACAGGTTGGCATGAAGGACCCACTGAGAATGGAGCCTAGAAGACCAAGAAGAAGGCACATGACCCTATGGGACTAGGACCTGGGTCTGGGGCTTGGACCCCAGGAGATTGGACCCTGGATCCCAAAAAAAAAAAAAAAAAAATGAGGAATTGCGCCAAAAGCAGATAAACCTTATAAGGAAGAAGACCAGCATATTGTACAAGTCTCAAGCTCTGTCACACTATCAAATTTAATTTTACAAAAACTGTTGTATGCCCATATATAGTCATGATGTGCCTATATATGGGGATGGTGTGATGTTATCATGGCCACTTAGGCATTTCGTATATTTTTGTCAAATAAAATTTCATAGTCTAGACAGGGCTTTCCTTCTGTTTGCCCCTCCCCTCACACAATGACCCCATGGCTGGGCCGACACTCCATGGTACTTACCTTGCATGGCATTGGTCAAGTTAGCAGCATTGGATGCGCCGCCTGCCTGGGCATTGGTTCGACCAGTTGCCGTGCCCATTAGTGCTCTCGTTGTTGAACTCCTAGGATGATGTCTACCGTCACGATCACGGACTTCCCTACTGCTGTCGTCATGGCTACGACCACCCTGTAAAATAACAAACTTGCATCATTATCCCATTCAAAAAAACACTACTTCAAATTTATACTAATAATTATGATGATATTTATTATTATTTAATTCATTTATCAAGAATTACTTGTATACAAAACATCAACAGTACTATAGATAAGTTATAAAGTATATTCTAAGGTTGTATTTGTAATAAATCTTATTAATAAAAAACATAAAAACTGAGCAGATATTAAAATCAATTATTATTTATTTTCTGATTATATAGTATATCATTAATGCTCTTATTTTGTTCACTTAAAAAATTCTATATTATGTGCACCTCACATTACTATTCATAAGTATGGTTAAGCAATTATGAAATATAATATAACAAAAAAAATGAAAAGGCCTGATTGAGACCCCCTGTTGGAGTTGCTGGACGTACTGTCTACACATTTCTGGAGCCAAAGTTGCCTCTGTGAAGAAGGTAACGTTTGGAAGTTTGTGTCTTAAAAGACCAAATCACATATTTGCATTTATTTGCCAGAAAAATACTTAGTATTTCCTTAGTACTGTTAGTAAAACATTAAGTTCTATCAGACTATCAAATTTTCTTTGTCAAAAAACTGTTGTATGCCCATTAGTCATGATATGCCTATATATGGTCATGATGTGATGTCATCATGACCATATTTAGGCGTGTCACATGTTTTTGTCAAATAAAATGTGATAGTCTGGCTTTAGCAAGATAATTTCTTGTTAATTATCCTTTAGATTAGTTATGCAGCTGTACTTAAATATGTAATTTTTATATAAGTGGTTGGAATATTGCAAATAAAAATATGATAATGCATTAAAAATTACAAATATTATATATATTCCACATATTTTGGAACAATGAATTTTTAATTAAATAAATGAAAATAACCAGATTAGCTAATATTTCTTAGAATGCATTTAGACCCCTTTTTAGTAGGCAATTTTAGTAGGTAATGCCTAGATTAAGGTCTACTTAAATCTATATAACCAATGTATACGACCACATTAATGGTAGTACAGTACTTAAAATGTTCATAAAAAATAAAAAATTACATAGAATATATAAATATTTAATCAATCAATCGATTTTAAATTTCATTTTGACAAGAGAAGATCATGTTGAACTCCTGTCATAATAAAAAATATCAAAGCACTGATATCAAAGCAACATATTAGTAACAATGTTATTGTTTTTTTTTTTATTACCACAAGGAATACCAAAGACACCTCAAAAAATGAAAATTACGTGTGCACCCAAAATTTATGTAACAAAAGTAGAGCACATAAATGTCAGACACCACATGAATTGTTAACAAAATAATTTATTCCGGGTGGAAAAGTGGAGATGAGGAAAACCAAATGGACGAATCAAAACCAGAAAGTAAAAGAATTAAAACCATGCAAAATAATTATGCAATTGAGGATTTGTTTTGGTGAATATTTACACATCTAATGAAAGCATTATTAATATAAATAACATATTAGGAATGATGGGCTTGTTTAGAATCTTATATCCAATTATCAGAGTATATTGTGCATCCGATGGTGAATCAATTTAGCCTTTTTTTTACATTAAACCACATAATTTAATTTGCTTGTTTTTTCCTTCATGTAGTTTCAGTGTATTACAAACATGTCCACTGGCTATTCACGCATTATAAATCACGAAGTAATTTATCAGAGCCTGGTAATATCCAGATTCGCATTATGAAGTCTGGAAACAGGCATGAAGGCATGCATTACCCATGCTGGGGTTCATTTTATGCAAGGACGTGAAATAAATGAAAAAAATAAATGGTATTGTTACACCAACAAACCATATTTATCGGTAGGACTGCCTGGCTATACTTACAAACTTATGCATTGCCCAGTCAAACATGTAGTCGTACGTTAACCCCTGTCTATGAAAGAGATTTCTGAAGAGTTGTCTGAGGTAGGAGTAGTCAGGCTTATCCTCAAAACGCAGGGATCGACAGTTGTTTAGAAATGTGGCAAATTCAGCTGTAAGGGGGAACACATAAAAGGCGCAGTGTTGTTAATGTGGGCGGGATTTAAAACATCACGGGGCGACAGCGTTACTTACAAATTTCAGCATATTCCAATCAAATACGTAGTCATATGTAAAACCTTGTCTGTGGAACAGATTGCGGAACAATTGTCGTAGGTACGAGTAGTCGGGTTTTTCGTCAAACCTTAGGGACCGGGTGTAATTAAGGTACGTTGAAAATTCCGCTGTAAAAGAAAAAACAGAAAAGAAGGGCAGCGATTATTTAACGGGAAACCACCTTGCGTTACCAAAGAAGGCAGGTTCAGGTGAAAGTAAAGACACTGCACTCAAGACTGGTGACAAGTATGTAGATGCTACAGTGATCACAGCGCGAGGTTAAAAACAAGACAAAGAAATGAAAAAGCTGATGATGAAATGTAAAGGATTCTGAGGAGAAAAAAAGGTTGTTAATGCTTCGAAGGATAATTAGTCCCAAGTCTGAAATTATTAGTTCAGAGCGGCAGTTAAGCAAGTTCATGTCATTGGGGTGCTTTCGATTGTGCGATGACAGTAGGACGTAGAACGTAACAACGTAAATAAAGTTATCTGTGCATGCGAGAACGTTAAGGTCACCTCGTCGAGTTAATTCTGGAATGCAATTTGGCCAAATCTATGTATGCAGAGAACGTAGGATGCCAGGTAGAACGGTCACGCATGAGTGATTCCGTTCTAGCGTCGTGTCGTCACACAAATCGAAAGCTCACTATTATTATATTGTGAGCCCGCATTTACACGATGGAAGTGTTAGGACGTTTGCATTTGTATAGGGATATAATGATGGTAAATACAGGCTCATGACATGAAAATATGGGAATAATTAGCGATATAGTAAATAATGAAATATATAACAATGATAATAATAACAGTAATGGTCCTTTAATAGTTGATATATAAACCTTTGGTATAGATGGATCCATTTAAAAAAAGTGATTATTCTCCCTCTAAACGCCATAGATGAGGGATTCTTGCGCATAATTTGCTACAAATTAAATATTGGAATTATTGTACATACAATATGTTGTTTCTATCGTAATTTACTCTAAATGATTCACAGCACAGTACATGGACTTGACATGCCCGCAGGGGACCCAAAGGAGGTCCCCAAGCAATGGCGGCACATAAGAGGGGGCCCTTTCCAAATTTAATTTGTTTCCTAATTTAATTATTAAATTTAATATTTTGAATTTCTCACTTTGCACAGCTATTAGCTTTAAATTAAAGTTTAGAATGAAACAAAAATATTTTCCTTGCCAAAAATTACCATTAATGACCATTTCTATTTTTTCCCCCCATACGGTACCAGTTTATATTTAATAAAAGAATAGGCCTCCCTGGAATTTTAACTGTGTGGACTTGACTGAGCTGTAGGGCTTAGCCGGTACACTTCCCTTGTACCAATTATTTCTATAACTATTTAATGGAAGTGCAACTAATTCAATTACTGCATTCCATATGTATGACGCAATTCTTAATTTTTGTGGGTGAATATATTTTATATTTAGTAACAAAGAATCTATATTCGGGTCAAGAATAAGCCTTAGTGTAATGTAAATATTGTATATTTTGACTTTACTTCAATTATTGATGAATTTATTCACCATTATTAGCCTTCACACTGTTGGATTTAATTTTTTTTTTTTTAATATATAAATATAATGTTTTTATGAACTTTAAGATGCCGTGGGCAATGATGCTGATATATGTTGAGGACGCTGATGATAATTACGATGCTGAGGACAAAGATGGTGATGTTGAGGACAATGACGATGATGTTGAGGACAATAATAATGATGTTGAGGACAATGATGATGTTGAGGACAGTGATGATGAAGTTGAGGATAAGACAACGATGATAATGATGAGGACAATGATGATGATGACAAATACTGTATGATGATGAAGATAACTATGATAATGACAAAGGTAATGATGAAGATGACAACAACGATGATGAAAATTATAATGGTGAAAATGATTCTGTAGTGTTATAGACAATAATACTATGAAATTTGAAAAAAATGTGACGACATTGATATTTTTATCATTACTCTACTGAGGGCAAGTTGATGAAATGCACGGCAAGCCATAGCTTTATAGCTAAATACTCACATGGATAGCCTTTGCAGAGTGTCTCGATGGGTGTTGACATTTTTTTTTCACTGATCTTTTCATACTTCTGTCTCTTGGTTGCAGCCTTAAGTCCTTGCCATGGTAGGCTCCCTAGGTTGAAATACATCAACATGTAACCTAGCGATTCCAAGTCGTCACGGCGACTTTGTTCTGGAAAGACAAGAGGGAAGAATGAATCAATTTACTTCCAATATTATCATCAACATACCTTGTTATTATCCCCTTCAATACAGTATACTGCTTTCCTTAAAATGCTCCATCAGCAAATAGTTACTGTGAGCTAAATGGCTCTACTACAGAAATTTATTCTTCTATTGCAATAATCAACCGTTTTTATTGCTTTTTTAGTTATCATTTTTTATGGATGCCTAGGCCTGGGTTAGGTAACTCAACAGAAAAAAGCTTGCTGTCGAGCCTGGGATTTCCCACAGCAGTGGAAAGCCCTTTCTACAGCAATTGCTATCTGTGCTGTTGGGAAATTCGTACCCTCTCCTGTTAACATCTTCTCTCATCATATCATACTCATTTTTCAACATCACTGTACCATCCCAACATCATCAGCATGTAATTCATCACCAATATTGCCATCTTTTTCATCCTTAATATTTCATCTTTTTCAACATCAGTATCAATTTTTTCATCATGAAAATCCTCTTCATCATTATCCATATCTTCCTTTTGCTCAACAATCGCCTGTCATTATCAACTTCATCATCAATATTACTTTCATCCTCAACATTAATAAATTTTAACACCATCATCACCATCTTCATCATCATCATCATCATCATCATCATCATCAATATTTGATCATAAAAATCACCATTTTTTAAAATCAACAATCATTTCTGTCATTAACATCATAAATTTTATCATCAATATCATCATCATTTTTATTATCATGATCAACATTATCATCTTATTCACTGTCAATATCACCCCAGATTAGTATTTTAACAACGTGCAATGGAAAGTCAAAAATATTTTGACAATCCAATAATGGAAACTAATTTCAAATAAAATTGGATAGGATTGTATAAAGCACTAGTTGCAGAATGTTAGTAGAACATTAATTATCAAATCATGTTACCATAACAACGTGCATATTATGCAGTACTCCCTTGTCGAGCAAAAAAGTATCCATCAACGTACATTTGCAATGTAGCGTAAGTGCACAACATTAACAAAAACATGAATGACTGTGACCTCTACATATCATTTGCATTCAACAACTATTTAGCTTCAAATTACTGTAAAGCCCTTAATTTTCGCGACCCTTTATATTCGCGATTTTACAATTTGAAATATATTTCGCAGCCTTTTATTTTCGCGATTTTATAATTTTACAGTCATTTTTTTAACATGATGCAGAAACCTATAATTATGTGTTTAGTTTATATTTTAGCTAGAGCTCCTGATTTTGGTGGGTTTCTCCTGATTTTTCAAGCAATCTCTAACCCTCTGTATTTTTAGGATGGCTACCATATAAGCCTACTACTGTACTGCAGAGACAAAATAACAACCATTCAGAAGTTCGTACTCGTCTTATTGGAAAATTAAGGGCGAAAAAATTAAGGTCTTTACAGTAATAAATTGTCAAATATCTCCTTCAGGGATCAACACCACCTCAAGTTCCCACTATGGTTGGAGCTAATTTTAAAGTAGGTACCTCTAGATGCCAAAATATGGCACACTGAGCCTGGAAAAAAAATAAATCAAGGCAGTGTCCCCTGATAAAACTACAATAAATGTTAATAAGATTAATTTAATCAATGGTCGATGCGAAGAAAAATGAACACTTCATGGCTGATATAACTTTTGGCAGATTTTTTCCCTCATGGGTCAGAGAATGTAGGCCTAGGTTGGCAACATACAACCTTTTTGACCCCACGAGCGTGAGCAATCTGGGTAATATAAATCAAGGTTAACGAAAAGACACAGAGAATAGTTGTATGAACAAATATTTCTTATTCATATAAGAGCATAGAACATTATTATTTAGCAAATTATATGAATGTTCCATTCAACAACTTGGCATAGTTGAGTTGAATGGAACGTTCTATTTTATCCCATTGTGCATTCATTATTTATATAGCCAACTTTCTTTGATCTGTTTCAAGCAACATTGAATTTATATAATCACTTACAGAAATATAAAATGAAATTAGCATCAAAGGTTATCTCACCTATTCCTAGATGAGTGTTTATACTAGCATATCGTGCAGTTCCTGTAAGGTTTTTGTTTTCCCTGTATGGGATATGCTGGTGCGTCCGTGAATCTCTGTATTTCTTGGCCAGTCCGAAGTCTATGATATATACTAGATTGCCCTTTTTCCCTAGGCCCATTAGGAAGTTGTCTGGCTTAACATCTCGATGGATGAAATTTTTGGAGTGAATATATTCAATTCTGCTGATCTATAAGAGAAAATAACAGATAGAAGATTTTAGACATTTGTAAAAAATAGTTATTATTATGTAGTTTGTATCAGGAAATCTCATGACTGATATTTTGCAAGTGGTCTAGTAGTTATTACACCAGGCTAGTTATCTGGAGGTCGTGGGTTCGATCCCCACATAAAGCTTTTATTCAGGTGGGAATTGAGTATTGAGTATGACATCACTCCTATACAGTTATCATAATTATTATTATAAAAAAATACAAAAGAGCCCTTGGAAATCAAACATAATCACTATCAATTTTAAAAATTATCATTAAAGTATATCACCACCGTCCAACAACACCACCAATAATTTTAAAACAGTATAAAACCTTGCACAGTCGCAGCTTGATAATTCATCAGAAAAAAAATATATGTAAATCTCAATAATTCTATTTAAATAAAAACACAAGATGACAAAACAAAACTAGTGTGCAGTTACAAACCTTCATCCAAGTAGATAGCAAAATCAAATAATAAGCAAAGCTTATAGAAACTCATTAAAATACTGAAAACCAAGTCTGGTTTCATAAGTCCTTGCACAGGTGTATGAAATATTATGTAATTACTTGGCAGGAAATTATTGTTATTTCTGTTGTGCTGCTGTCATTGACATGTGTGGTATGCATTATAATAACAAGAATAATATTTAATTGGAGCTTCTTTTTTAAACAAAAGCACACATTAAAAATGTTGCGATTAAGAAACAAAATGCTTATGACATACAAATTATTTCAAGACTAAAGTCTGGTCCAGATATGCCTAAATATGGTCATGATGACATCACATCATGACCATATATAGGCACAGATTTTTTTTGTTAAACATTTGATAAGCTGGACAAGGCCTAAACACAGGTTGATGCATACTGATTGGAAATTTATTGAGAAAACATTCAGAATACAAAGCTTAGGAAATAGGTGGCCAAGATGTCATGGGAAAAATCCTTCCATAATAGATACTGAAAATACCTCCGTGTCATAGGTCAAGTTGTTATGATTGGATTGTTGTTATTGTAACATACACATGTTTACTATAAAGGGCCACCCATTTAGTTTGCTTTTTTATTGTACAAAACATACTATATGCTAGCAGGAAGGGTTAACAGTGTATGTATGCTTAAATAAAAAGACAAAATGATAACAATCATTTTATTTTGTACATTTTGAGGGGTAAGCAGGGAAGTCGCAGAATGGAGTCGCTGTGTACTGTACCTCCTCGAAAATGACAACCAAAATGGATGACCCTAAGGTATAGCAACAAGTGCGAGTATTAGAACATGCTGTAAGCATATATGAGGCATATATAATGGGTTAATTCATGTAAATTTAGAGGCATACATTCCATTTCTTTGTGGAATACAAATACCGTAAAGCCATGAATTGAAGCCGCGGGCTTCTTTTCTTTGCGAACTTTGGATGAGCTTCTTTTCGAGGCTTCTTTTGCAAAGTAAAGAGGGGGCCTTCTTTTCAAAATGAATGCTATAAATTTTGTGAATTTGTACTGTAAAACAATAAATAAGGCCTCTGTAACATCATTCAGTGTCATGGAATGGTTTTAACTGGCATTAAATCACCTAAACTACTGTATAAACCAAGCTTGTATTTAATTTATTTTGTTTTCTGAAATTCATGTTTAGTGTATGTGACTGTAACATCTTGAAAAGAAGCATGCTATCTTGAAAAGAAGCCTATAGGCTTCTTTTTGAGATGGGCTTCTTTTCAAGGCTAATTTTGCAAACTAAAAAGGAGGAGGGGCGCTTCATCTCAAGATTAAGCCCAGCGGGCTTTAATTCAAGGTTTTACGGTACTGTATTTATTCGAATAAACGCCCTGCCCTGCTTTGAATACATCCCCCAGTGAAATTAAGGAGGGTTTAATACGCATCTATTTTACACCAAAATAAATAAACGCTTCCCTTGATAAAAACGTCCTTTTTATTAAACCCTTCTTAACAATAAATGCCCCGAGGCATTTATTCTATTAAATATAGTAAATAATTAATTAGAATGAAAAAATAAATAAATGTAAGAGAAGGGCATGATGGTCTGCTTGTCATTAACACTATGAACCATTTCAGGTTCAGATTTTTAATATTAAATACACAAACAAGTACTTGACAATAGCCAAATTTCATCAGTAGTACCATCACTTATTCAATTAAAACTTTAAAATATATTTTTACACTGACTTTTTTCATTAAATTGGCCTTGTAAATACTTAAAATATCAGAATAATTAAAAAGTGATGCTGGTATGCATAAAAGTAGCAACAATATTCCACTATACAAAGCTTAAATGCAATATAAATGAATCATATCCAAAAATCATTGACCTGAAGAAGTTATTTTACTAATAAAAACAAAAAACATATCAAACACATACAATTGTAATAATTGCTGGTATTCTCGTATATCCTGTCCCACACCCAGTGAATTGGAAACAGATAAGACAATACAACTTGATGGTATACCTTTAAAAAATTTACACATCACAACATACGACCTACAGTAGTCCACACCTCGAGTGCTTTGAGACTTCTGTTTAAAATGCTATATAAAACGAACTACATTATATTACATGAAAAAGCAGTATACAAAAATCAATATGTAGTATGACTTTTACTTCAATAGGACTTAGTCGCTATCAGACACTCATCTGATGTAAACATGTAATCATGTATTGAAGTAATCAAATTATATTTTTTTATGTAGTGTGAATTGAATCTACCTCAATATCGTTGTTCATTGGAACAAAGGGATGTTTTCTGTGATTCATGTGGCTATGGGCACTCATGTAATAGAAATACTGTTACAACTGATATTTTCACAAAGTCTACTCTTTTCGAGTAACCTGTACTTTTTCCTAACAAAATTCAATCGTCCTTATAATTTCATATTACATGTTAAGTTATAATTGAATAATGTGAACAATAGCAGTAAAACTTAATTACATTCTAGTCTGTATTTAATCACCCATTCTGTCTGGATTTTTCTAGCATTTAGCTGGCTTCTATATTATGATTTTAATCATATCCATAATAAATGAATATTAAATAAGAACAATGTAAAGAGCAGATTAGCAAAGTCGACTAAACTGGCTGTATCCACTTTTTATGCTCTGAGCCATGGAGACCACTTCAGATACTTGAGTCCTAAGTATAACAGTACTTTGAAAAAAGACCTGGAGATTGTTTCAAAGTAGTACCCCAGCGTACTGCTCAATTTACTACCAGACGGACCCCACTAAACAAAGGTCTTTCAAATGTTACGGGTTATGTCTGGTGTGTTTCACATCAAAGCAAACCAATCAGATACTTAATAAAAACAATATAGTAAAAATAATAAATTTCACAAGTGACTGACACAGTTGTTAGTTTTTGGGCTTTAAATCCAGAGGATGCGAGTTTGAATCCTAGGCTGACACACTGCTCAAACTTTTCAGTAAGACACTTTACTTGCGTCCCTAGAAGCACCTTAGTAGACTATGGACCATTTGTAATGAAACTGAGAATACTGTAGATGTAGGAATAATCAATCATTGGGCATCACAGGGAAGTGTTGGGAGGGGGGGAAGGAGGAAGGGGATATACAGTCCTTGAAAAAAACCAAAAAAACATACATTATTTTCCCCTCAAATGAAAACATGCTGATTACACTGAAATAGTTAAAAATCACCTCATTTTTTTTTGTTTGCCAGGTAGATCCAACTCACTTAGTCCTATGGTAGTTAGCTAAACCTAGAAAGCGTTGCAATTCCTGTCTCTTATACACATCTAGATGTGTATAAGAGACAGCTGTTAATTCAACGCTTTGCGTTGAATTCAGAATAAACTATTTCTGAGCTCTCAACGATGTCAACAGTTTCAACGACAACGCCAACGAAAACGCCAACGCGTTGTCAACGAAAACGCAACGGGTTGAATGCGTTGAATTTTTGCAATAAAACTGGCCGGTACTGTACACTGAAATAGTTAAAAATCACCTCATTTTTTTTTGTTTGCCAAAGTTCTCACTTAGTTCTCAACCTCCTTTCCTCACCAATATTAGTCCCCTCCCTCATGTTCATACTCCTAGATATATCACTGGTAATAATGAATGTCAGGTAGCTAGGCAGGGTACTTAAATAACATGGCTACAGTATTTCCATGTATCCAATAACAAGGAGTTAATAGGTTCAGTCTAAGGTTATGGTAACACACAATGTCTCTACATACAATATTGACATGTACACATTATGTATAGTGCCCTAGGTAAGATCGTGGAAGTCGTAGTTGCATTTTCATTTGCTACCACATTTTACATTAGTTTTTATCGTCTCTCTTCCAAGTACCTTTATTCTGTAATATAAGACACGGCAACAGTCAATCATTTAATCGCTCTGATCTACATAAAATAGAATTAAGAATATATAAAAACTATATATTATGTATTGCTCGTTACGTAAAACTTTATTGAAACTATCAAATTTTCTTTGTCAATAAACGCTTGTATGCCCATATATAGTCCTGGTGTGCCTATATATGGTCAAGATATGATGTCATCATGACCATATTTAGGCATACACACATTTTTGTCAAATAAAATTTGATAGTCTAAAAAGGGCTTAAGATCATAAACATACAAATTTTAATTGGCCAATATTTCAGACTTCAATTTATTTAAAAAATGCCTTTTTGCCAACAGAGTGTAGGTTCTACTGTAAAACAACTATTAATAGCATTTAATGTCAGTCAGTCACTTAACATATAAACAGTCTTTTTCTTTGAAAAAAAAAAATTAATCATTCAATCAATGCTTCAAAATGGCCGTTCTTATGTAATTTCATTGTCCTGAGAGTAGGGAAAGTGAAAGCATTGTCTTTGTACAGTAACTGAAACATAATGTCACAATCATTTATAAACTCAAAATTAAATAATCAGTATTTAAATTAATTTTAACCACTCTTCCTCTTTCACCATGCCATCTTTTTCAATAAAA